TCTGGATTTCGTGTAGAGGGCTTCCATTCAGCTCCCTAATAAAATGCCCAGAACAACAGCAGGGGAGACGATGTTTGAACACGTCAACAATTCTCTTCAGCATTTGCAGTGACCGTGTGAGAAAGCGTTTGTGTGCTGAGAGAGGTTTGTTTTTCCTGCTGCCCTGAATGCTGCTTCTCATTCTTCCTTTTTCATTACTGATACAGACTCTCATGTCAAAACAACAGAGAGTTTTATTTTTCTGCTGCATAAAAACAGTATTTTCCTGATCCAAAGACACTTGTTTCAATGCCCATTCCCAGCCGAGCGGATCTCCTGCAGAAATCCCTCCTGCGTGATATCCTAATGTGGACAGCAACTGAGATAAGTCAATTTACCACTAAAAAAAGAAACAAAGAAGACGCCTCTTTGCCTTTCATTGTGTGTGATTACGTTGACCTTTAAAGTAAAGACTCTACCTATTTTCATATTTATGACCAACTTAGTTTCTTTTGCAGTCCACTGTTTCTCTCTAAACGGATCCTCCAGTGACAATGTGATAAATGTGGCAATTCAATATCTGATTGAACATTAAAACACTGATCACAGACTTGATTCCATCACAGGACTCTTGAGAATCTCTAAACAGCAGCCTCCCATTTCCTGTTTATAACTGCTCAGTACAAGTTGCATGGTAACTATTACTTCTAGTTTGTCTTCCTGTCCTTATGTTAGGGAGAAATTATGCAAACCTAACAAGCTTTATGACCAACTTAGCGTTTTATTGACCCGAGCGCGGTTTTCAGTTTCAGTGCACAATGGCAGATGGTAGCCAAACATTAACAGCTGTACTGTCGATGACTTTATTCCAAAGTCTAAAATTGCAGGAGCTTTAATAAACTCATTGTGGTGACTGACTTTTTTACGAAACAAATGAGGGAAGCTAGTCATTCTTCAAGAATTTTAACATTGTCCCTCATTTGAATTTGTGCTTTGGAAATAGACACAAATCATTATTTATTCTGTTTGTTTTTTTATCTGGATCTATCTTAATTTACTATTGAGGCACACTCAGTAAAATTGTCATATTTTTTCAAAATCACTTCAATCCATATTCATGTCACCATGATTCAGGCAGTGCTCATTTCACACTCCGGTGCTTCCGCTGCTTCATTCATTCTTCATCTCCACATACATCTACGTTGCTGTGTTGTCATCCAAATCCAAAGGGTCTTTTCATTACTGTGCCCTCCTCATGAGATGTTCCCAGCAAGATAACAGAACGGGTCCTTTTCTTGGTGCTGCAGTTCCTCCGGTGTGGATGATAAATGTCTGCAGCACGCTGCTGCACATGGGATACTAAAATCATTACTTAGGATATCGAAGCAGGGCATTGCAAATGTCACACTGTGTATGCTTCCAAATGCTTCATGGAAGAAGATCCTAAAGGCTGCTGTGCCCATTTGCTTCTGTCTCTCTTCTCTGCTGTCCAAGCTCTTCTCAGGGTTCTGTCAGCATTTCTGTATGGCTGAGTAGTTCCAGTAATTAGTTAAGCATAATTTATTTTTGCTCTTCTCTTTTGAGTCTCATTTTTAAAAGACCCCCAAACAAATTATCTGGATCAGTCAGCCAAACAAATCAGTCCTAAGAGATTTATATACACCCCAAAAAAGAGACACAGAGATCATTTGCAAAGTATTAACTATGGCATTTATCCCCTCAGTCAGGAGAAGATGGTTCATAAGGCCCCAGGATGACTATGATTGTTTGTAACTTCAGAACGAATTAGGCCTTAATCTCCCCACATTGTCCCAATCAGACGCTCAGAGACAAACTGTCAGCTGTTCATATGCACTCCTCTTATAATGCTGTAGCATCATAAGGCCAGTTTAGTTGAACATGAGTGAACAGGATTTACACTTGGGTGTCCATGTGAATGTGACCGGCACTGGAATGAGACCCTCTGATGCACAAGTCAAATGCACATGTCAAATCTTTGACATTTCGTTGGATGTTTCAGTTAAGACTGAACATTTCAAGCCTGTTCCTGTCTGGGCTACAAAAATGACAGAGACACAGGATTATGCACGTAATTCTGCTACATTAGCTTCTGCACATTTACCTGACGAGGGGCTCTTGACAGGCTCAAACCTCTCTCTGTTCACTGCAGGGCTTATTCCAATGCACACTCCCAGCATGTTTTCTTCATCTTATCCTTATCAGATTGAGATTCTTAAATAAGACCTAAATTGAGTCATGTCTAATTTAATTTAAGAATCCTCACAGACCTGAATTATGTCTTTTGTTCTGTGTGGCTTGCAAGCTGATGATAATCCGATGGGTTGGAGCGTTACAAGAGCCTGTCACTTAACGAGATAACAAAGTGTCTAACTTAGTATCTGGGTCACATGATATCTAAAAATACTGTTGTGAGCAGCAACAAAGTTGCTTTGAGGGTAAGATTGGGAAAGTGCACCAATCGTTTTTAGAAAAACTTCCACTTCAATCATAACAAGAATAAAATCTATATTACAATAATCCTCGCCGTAAGGGTTAAAGTTTGGAGCCATTTACAATATTTATCAGAAAAGATCAGAAATCTGAAAAAGTGTCTTAGAACAGGAAATACAGTTTAACATTTAGTATGAAGCATTTGGGATCTTCTATCCTGAAAATAAATGCATGGACTCAGAAAAAAATCTTTTCTAAAAGGTCGCGCAATTGGTCTGTCTTTATGATGTTTACAGACTGTTGAAGATAAACAGATACTACACAGTAATACACTTGGCTTTGGCCCAATGATGAGATAAAGCCAAGAACTATTTCAAGTTCAACATAAGTAACTATTCTTGACACATTTTTAAATGCTTCAATTTCAACAGTTTATTTTTTTTGTTATATTTTGAATAAGATTGTGAGATTAGTTTGCATTTGACACAGTGTACCTTTGGTATGCTGTAGTTTTTCATTGTTGTTGATATCCCTGAAAAGAAAAATGAACAGACACAGCTCTGTGATACCGTATGTCCTTAACCTTTTTACTTCACAGTCTCTCTTATTTCCTTCCAGGTTTTGAAGTTGTGTTCAAAGCTGATTGATCCCAGTGCACCAAAGAGGCAAATATATGCTCCCACCATGTTATTCAGTTACACGCTCTACAGAATAAGGAAACCAGCGCGGACAGACTGCTGGGTCTTCCCTCGAGGTTTTTGCTCTGGATTTTTACTAATTAGTGGTGTGGTCTAATTATTGTCCTGTCTGATCTTGTAATGTTAAGAACATTGCAATTTATTTGAACTTCCTAATTTAAAGCAGTAAACAAAATGTCAGTGCTAATGGAGGAAAACATCTAACATATGTGTGTTTCGGTTGTTTTGAGCGGCTCTATTCCAACAACTCAAATTGCAAACGTATTTACTGATGACAATATGACAATGAAACACAAGGGAAACAATCTCTAGTTTATTGAAATTTATGAAAATTCATGCAGTGTTCTTGTAACATAAAACAGATTGCTTTTTCTTTGTAGTGTTCAAGTTATTTAACACACTCCATATAGGTCTCAAAATATATTTTGTATATCTTTTCGGCTTGATTGTTCTCCCTGTTTCTGTGTCCTTGTTATGAAACCAATGATACTGGAAGCATTTGTCATTTTGCTGAAGCTTTTGTGCTTTTTATATTTGCGTATTAATATGGAGTCTCTAATACATACCCCCACATGCATTCTCTCTTTCTCTTATCCTTCTTTCTCCCCGAACTACTTAATGTCTAATGACACATTTGGCATGAATTCAAGGATTTTAAGGCAGATGAGGTATTTCTTCAAGCCTCTGCCAAGAATTTATCTATCACCTTTGAATCTGTGTGCATGCTGTTGTGGTCTGCCTACAAATGAACTCTCTGGATTCACAGACTCTTTTAAACAGCTTTATACACACTGCTGCTATCTCTGTTTGTCTTCAGTTAGTTTACATCAGACCAGTAAAGTTAGAGTCCTGTCACCTCGAGAAATATTAGAATTACTTTTTAGTTGTTCCATGTATCAGTGATGGACGTAAAATTGAGTGAGGGGAAGTGGTTGGCATAATGTGGAAAGCACTATCTCATCTTCAATGTAATCACATCAGAAGAGATGACTGAAGCAGAAAACAATAGACCGTTTAAACATCATGTGGAGGGCAGAGAAACGGTTTTCGGTGAAGGTTTGTTGACGTCTGGAGGTTTACCTGAACGGCAGAGAAGGCTGGATATCCAACGATGAGGCTGTCTTAAAAAAGAGACAGAACAGTCTGCACTTTTTGAGTGTGCTGAGGTCTTTCGGTGTGCATCAAGATATTGCATATCTTTAAAAATCTGTAGAGTGCAAACTGCTTTGCAGCCATCTGCTGTGACAGTAGCATCTGAGCCAATGACTCAAAGAAACTGAATAAGAAAAACAGAAAAACAGAAAGCTGTCTTTGTTTTGGTAACTTCTCTGGAGATTCTGGGGCTGATCATGCAGAAGAATGCTGCAAACAAGGTGAATGCAAATAGAAAAAAACTTAAAGTTTGTTTTTAGCCATTTCTATGATGAGTTGATGCACAGTCAGTAGGATGAAACCAGGTCGAATTGGACCTTGAATTTGACGTGGCAAGGAGGAAATTGACACGACTGAGCAGCTGTTTCCCAGAGATGATGTACATATCCCAGATATTCCCAAAGGTTTGCATGCTTTGCCTCTTTTAGATGGCTGCCGTTGCATTGTGTTGCTGCTTACTCTTTTGTAGTTGTGTTTCAAGCCTCTTCTACCACTCTTTGGTGTTTACTACCTTGTTTATCACTTTCAAGCAGTTTTGGAAACTGGTTCAATCGTTTTAATCTGCGCAATTTAAAATTGACTTCATTCAGAATTTCTTTTTGCCGCTTTTCAAAATTGCTTTTTTTGAAAATAATTGACAAGTGGTTGGTTATTAATTATGTGGTGACAGGGGAGATAGGGGAGGAGGAAGAGAGGGAGGCAGGGAGGACAGTCCTAGGAGCACTTACAAGCACCCACACACTCTTTCTCACAAGACACCCGGCGCGCTTTCTCTCCTGCATGCACATGAGATCAGCAGCCACTCTGAGAGCGGATCTGTTCATAGCGGGCTGATGATGCCTCCCTGTGCGTGGCTGGTGACTCTGTCTGTGGCAGTACTGACAGGTAAAGACCTCACTTATCTACTTTCCGACTTGTGAATCAATATTTTTGATTAATTTACAATTGCAGGAACTGTTCTGGGGTGTAAGCGTGGAAGAATTTAAGATGTTATAGTGAAAGTCCCGCAGGTCTGCTCTGATAGCCAAATCAGTCTGAGTACTGTCTGTACTATAATGACTCTTTCTCTTCTCTCAGTAGCTCTTTGCATAGTTCGTACTGGGGGAAGATAACAGCTATGTTCATAACTTTCATTAGCTTGTCTAAGAAAGCCCAAATTAAATTACATTAGCCTTTTTACTTGCAATCCTATTGGAGAACTGTTTCTTTGGGCCAGTAATTTCACCTGATTTCCATCGCTTTTATCATCACTTTGACACTTAAAAAGCAGGAAAATGCTCCAGATCTGAAAAAAATATTTTCTTCTTTCTTTATTTGCTCACAGGAAACATTATTGTTGCTGCTCTAAATGAGAGAACGGAGAGGAACTGCTCTGCAACTCCACCGGTGAGATCAAGTTCTGAGAGGCAACATTTGAAGTTTAACGTCCTCTCACTTTTTGCCATGAAATTGATTGAGATTAAACATCGACTTGAGCTAAGCTCTTCAGAGTCCTCATGTTACGAAACATGACCGCGAGACAGTTAATGATTACACATGGAGATAGAGAAGGAGATGAATCAGCGGCTTCTCTGGTTTTAATCAAGTTTTAAGGCTTTTCCGTGTCTGTGTGTGTGTATGTGTATCTGTGTGTCTCGGTGGCCTTGTGTGTGTCAGTACCTCCCTAGCACAGCGGTGAATACCAGCATCCAGCTGCAGGAGCTACGAGCGCAGATGCTTCCCATGAACATCAGCGCCTACATCATCCCCGGCACCGATGCTCACCTGGTACGTCGGCCATACCTGATAATGAACCCATTTGGGCTTAAAGTCTGTCTGTACGCAGTTCTAAACCACTGTCCTTCTGACAGAGCGAATACATTGCACCACGTGATGCCAGGATGGCCTTCATGACTGGTTTTACGGGCTCTGCAGGTACAATCCTCCTCCTCTTCCTCCTCCTCTTCCCCCTCTACCTGCTTATGACTCAAGTCCCTGCTCGCCCGAGTGCTGTTGTCACGGAGTTCCTCTGCTTTCATCCCACTGACTCCTCATTCATTTTCATTGCTTTTGCTCACTGCATCATTGGAGCCTCTTGTTTGGCGGTAGTCCTAACAGATAGCCGCAGATAGCTTGTCTGATAGACCTCTTGTCTGTGACAATGAAACAAATTCATGTTTATTTATGTTACCGTATTCAGGTTTTCCTAGAAAAAGACGGCAGATCAGTTAATTGATCTTCTCACCAGGACAATACAGCGCCAAACTCCATCTAAAAACATTTTCCAAACTGCCTGAAAGACTCCGGTGTGCAGATTTTAGATGCAGCAAAACCTCTGAGCCGTTTTTGTTTCTACCTTATGTGCGAGTCCAATACGGCTGATTGATGTCCACTGTCCAGTTTACCCCTTTCACGCTCACGTCTTTCTGCATTAGCCATCTCGTCCCGCGTTGTTCCGTGTCACCTCTGACATTTATAGTCTTTTTTAATTGACTGTCCCAACTGCCCACTGCATAGCTCAGCTGCTGTCCCGCCTCTCCCCAGGCACTGCTGTCGTTACTCAGACGAAGGCCGCTCTGTGGACGGACAGCCGCTACTGGGTCCAGGCTGAGAGACAGCTGGACTGCAACTGGGAGCTGGAGAAAGATGGTAGGGGGCGATTGCCTTGCGCTGACTTGTTTTGACAACGCAACACACACAGACTCCACTTAGATATTTGTGGGTTGTCGTTTTTTTTCTTCCTTTTCTTAAAAATAGCCCGTGACATGCTGAGCATTTCATTACAGGGTTTGGATTTTAAAAATAGTTAAAAAACAAAGTCAAAGATTATTTTAGCAAAAACACTTGCACATACTGACTGTTAAGGCTTTGTAAGGCAGGAAAAACTGTATAAGTTCTTCTGATATTTTTCATTTATATTCGCTCCAAGTAATAACTATTTGAAATTATTTGTTATTGATGGTTATTTTCTGGATACTTTAGGAGTTAAACGCCAGATAAACAAAACTTAACAATTTCATTAAAAATTCGGAATATATATATATATATATACATATGTACATACATGTGTGTGTGTGTCAGTGTGTCACCTAAATATCTTATGCCTTTGTGTGTATCTTCTTCCTATGATTAACATTTGTAATACCCATATTTATATAACGTGTTTATTTGTTATGTAGTTCTTGTTTTTTTCAATTTAACAAAGCAGCTTGTTTCAAATTGGCTCTGTCAAAAATGAAATGTTCTCATTATCTTTCATATCCTGTCACTGCCTCTTGGGATGTTTTAGTGTCCACCAGCAGCATTGTGGAGTGGCTCCTGTCTGAGGTTCCATCAGGCGGCAGGATCGGCTTTGATCCTTTTCTCTTCTCCCTCAGTGAGTCTCACTTCGTCCCCCCCACCTGACACTGCAGCTTAACATCTATAAAGGTTGCGCCGCAGCAGACGGAACGTTATTGATGGAGTCTCCAGACTCCACGCGGAGCTTTTATACGTGATTGATTCCGCTCGGGGTGTGTAATCTTCTGTGATTTCCTCCATTAGACAAACAGGAAGACTACGCCATCAATCTGGAGTCCAGCAATCGCAGCCTCAAGTCCGTCCCCGTTAACCTGGTGGACCGAGTGTGGAGGGACAGACCGTCTCTGCCCCCTGACAGCCTCGTCCGCCTGCCGGACAGAGTAATCCGTAGGTTTCCTGCAATGTGTGTGTGTGTGTGTGTGTGTGTGTGTGTTCAAACACACGCCGTGCAGACTGCCCGTCTGCCCGGGTGGTGCCGTTTATCTGCGTGCTGATAAATACCTGCAAACTGGACGGAGAGCCACAAGCAGCTCAGCAAACACAGCCATAAAGGTCTTTTTTTATATGATGGTCATGTTTTTACAGCTCACTGAAAGATTAAACGCTCACTCAAAAGGACCGGAGAAGCCTCCAGATGAGGATGTTGTCTGGATCCTTGTGAGCCTTATTGGTCTTTATGACTGGACATCGGAAAATGGAACAAATGGAGAGCATCATAAACTTAATGGTCTGTGTGTACACAAGGCTTTAAGTGGTTCTTCTGTGAATGCCATCTCATAGATTGGATGTGAAAGCTTGTTCTAATTCTTGGCAGATTGTCAGGATGAAAGTTCATAAAGTAATAGAAAAGTTTTTTAGTTGCCAAGAGCATCAGAGCAAAGTAGCTGGAGTCAGATGTCACATGGGGTCTCTCTGTGGGGAGTTTGCATGTTCTCCCGGCGTATTTCTGAGCTGTCTGCAGGTAGCTGAGCTTCCTCTTGCCGTCCAAACATAAACTTTCATTCAGAAAATACACGTCCTAAGATTTTTTAAAAGAAATGTCTCATTTTAGTAGATCGAGCACATTGAACTGAAGCTTTGGAGAGTCCACCTCTAAGAAAAAATTGACTTTACTAACTTATTCTGAGAGGGCAGAGGAGGTCTGGTGGTAGTTAAGTAAAGAAACCATTTGAAGTGGTTTCTTTACTTTAGGGGAAGTGAAGTGCTTGAGCTTGAGTAAATCGGTCAGTGTTCCTGGTACCAGACGGACATCTTTGCTGGCAAAATGACCAGAAACCCCTGAAATCCAAGCTCCAGCTCTCCAGGATGACGGTTGTCGTTACAGTCTTTATGTCAGTATGAAAGAGGACGGACCTGAACCTTGAAATATAATCTAAGTGAAAAAACTGAAAATTTCCAGCACAAAATTGACTCATCCCAAATAAATTATGGTGTATCGTGATTAAAAATCTAAAGGTTTTGTTGGCTGGCTGAGCTGTTTGTGTTTTATATTCAAGACAACCAAAAGAGTTTCCACTTTTTGAGAGTGATACATTTTTATTTGGGTTCCAAGCAATTCAGTAATAACGCTGCATGGCCTACAGGTTTGAGGGAGACTGGGTGGAAATGAAAGCAAAGTGTGTCTTTGCAGAAAGGTCCTGGCAGATGAAGGTGGAGCAAATACGGAGCCTGATGAGGGACAATCCATATCAGCCCACAGCTCTTCTTCTATCTGCTCTGGATGAAACGGCCTGTGAGTAAATTCCCCCGTGACACGCTCGTATCAGGAGATCACGTTGTTGCTTACTTGTGTCCAAACCCCTGAACACAACAACAAACGGTCGGTCAGTGATGAGTCCAGCGTAGGATTTGCTTTGGCTCTGATTCTCTCTCTTTTCTCCAGTTTCCAGTTTGGAAAAAAGAACATGGCAGATCTATTTAACTTGAAACTGCTTTTGATGTTGTATATTTTTTTCATACATCTGATAATATATAATATTATACAACTTCTTATTTTGATTGCAATCTCTTCCGCCATAAATATATAAAAGTATCAAAATGTATAATAGATAAATAAGTCAATACACAGGAAATGTATTCCCTACAAAAATGATGCAGACATCTGATAAGTGATCCTACATTCTCTGGCTTAGATTAACCTCCGTCCTGCTCAGGATGAGGAGTGAGATGAGCCAACCAACTGCAGAAGTTTGATAAGAGAAAATAGAGTTGACTTATTCTCTGCAAGTTCACCGATTTGATGGCACAGCAGTAATAAGTGTGTTATGTGGGGTTTAAACAGGCCGAAGCTCAGCATCAGTAAGAGAAAAGCGATTTATTCAAAAGTAAATTTCTGAAGAATCAAACAGGAGGTGACGCGTCCGTTCCAATATATCTGATTTTGAGTGTTGATTACGGAATGATTACTTTTGAAATGACAGGAAAACAGGAGATGGATGTGAACGACGTGAAATGTCATTGAGAAATGCTGCTCACAGTCAGAGGGAATGTTTTGTTTTTGCTTTTAGGGCTATTTAATCTGCGTGGCAACGATATTCCATACAATCCCTTTTTCTACTCCTACACTCTCCTGACTATGAATGAGATCTGGTGAGAAAATGCTCAATAAATTTTTCTAACACATGCATTTATTGTGCATTTATTGTACGTCTCTTACGCGTGCGTTACAGGCTTTTTGTCCACACCGACCGAGTGAGTGAGGACTTGAGGGTGTACCTGAACGCCTCCTGTACCGGGGCCCTCTGTGTGCAGCTGAAAAGCTACGACTCTGTCCTTGAACATGTGAAACTGTACGTGGCCCGGCCTGGGGTTAAAGTGTGGATTGGTACAGAGTACACAAACTACGCGCTTTATGAGATCATCACACCAGAGGTACCATCTTGTCTTCTCTGTGGAATTAGAAATCCATAACCACTGCAGGCATTTCAATTCAATGGAATTTTCGTGTATGTGTATTTCTGTATTTTTATGTAGTTGTTGGTCTCATTTAGGACAAACTAATGACAAGCTCCTACTCTCCTGTGTTGACGACCAAAGCGGTGAAAGATGAAACTGAGCAGCGAATACTGAGAGATGCTCACGTACGTCCTCCATACACAGACACACTCAAACCACACGGTGCCACATGATGCTTAACCAGGCTTCTAACACTAGAAACTCCCTAGTTTTTATTCATTAAGTGTTCACCTGTGTGTTGTGGACATTTCCCTCTTTGTACGATGTGTGTCTGTGACTGTGACAGGTGAGAGACGCCGTTGCTGTCATCCAGCTGTTGATGTGGCTGGAAAAGGCCGTTCCAGAGGGGAAGGAGACCGAGCTGAGCGCTGCGGATTACGTCAACAAATGCCGCGAGTGAGTGCGACGTATTCACCCGACGAAGGACACGCAGCATGTCGCATTGTGGAGTCTGATGCACAGCATTTTGAACGAAAAGCTCACGCTATAGATGGATGTTGCAGCTAATCCAAACATCCTTTCCAGGAAACAGAAGGACAGCCGGGGCCCGAGTTTTGAAACTATCTCTGCAAGTGGACCCAATGCTGCTCTGGCCCATTACAGGTGGGACGAACAAATGTTCTTCTTCTGTTACTGATCTCCTTTCTGATGTAAAAGAACATGGTGGAGCGGTTTTGTACAAACATCATTAACGTATAGTAGCTTCTGGGATAGAGGTTGCCATCACTTCCTGTTTTCTCTGCTGCAGCCCTACAGAGGAAAGCAACAGGAGGCTGACAGTTGATGAGATGTACCTCGTTGACTCCGGTGGCCAGTACCTGTGAGTAAAAAAAACACTGAATGCCAGTTTCACTTCATGTCTCGGACGTTCAGAATGAGTCAGTCTCTTTCTCGCTACCACCAGAGACGGGACCACTGACATTACTCGGACGGTTCACTGGGGGACACCCACAGAAATGCAGAAGGTAACATCATGAAATCTGAAGCAGTCCGAGGAAGTCTTTAAAATGTTCACCACTACATTTAAAAAAGAAAGTCTCACTTTGTGTCTTGCTTCACAGGAGGCCTTCACTCGAGTGCTCATGGGAAATATTGAGATATCCCGAACCATTTTTCCCTCAGGGACAAGAGGTGAATGGGTCTCCTGCATTATTTCCTCTTCTCACCACTAGAGTGCCCTCTTTCTCCACGTCTTTGTGAAAGCACCCGCTGCAGTATCCGGGCAGGATGTCGGACTTTGCCTCTGAATGGTGCCCTTTGTTTCGTCAACAGGCGTAAACATGGAGATGCTGGGTCGCCGGGCACTCTGGGAAGTTGGCCTTAACTACGGACACGGCACAGGTCACGGTGTCGGCAACTACTTTGGAGTTCACGAGTGTATGCCACCCCCCACCCCACCCCACTCTTTTTTTTGTTTTTGTTTTTTTAAACAGTTTCCTGTCTAAGTATCTTACTGCACAAAGCTCAAGCAGAAACCGAACGAGGATTTCAGTGACCCATTATATTAAATATGACTATAATATCATGCAGGAGGGTGAATGACAGCACATTAGAAAATATAACAAAAAATTCACATTCACACCACTTGTGATGTGATTGCATCACTAAAAACCCAAAACCGCTGAAGGGAATGAGTCACTATGTGACAAAAAAGACATAAGGGTGAACATTATAATACTTTTGGTCACAGAATATATGAATAAATATTCGAGTGAAAAAACCAAAAGAAGAAAATGGGTACATAAGCACCCACGCAAAAAAATATAAACTAAAAAAAGAGATTAGCACCAGAGATGAAACAAAAAGCCTCCATCTTCATCCCCCATGTTTTATAGATACCTTTGGTAGTTGCACTGGAAAAGTAAAAAACTTTTATCAAACCAGGAAGCGTCTCACTGAGATGTGAGATCTCTTTTAAGTGTCATGTCCAAGACAGCAACAACACCACGGTAGCACACACATACACACACACACACACAGACACACACACTGACATCTGACAGTTTCCACACGTGAGCAGAATCAATACTTAGAAATCTTTATCAGAAAAATGTTAATTTTTTTGTCAAAATTGTCAGCAATGTAAAAGAAAAGCTTGGAACATATTTTCTTCTGTATTTGGGCCTAAAACTATTGACAAGGATAAGATATTTGTGATCAATAACGCGATGACCAGCTACACAGAATGGCTAGAAAATATAGCATTTGTTCAGTAACAGATGTGTATTTTTTCAGCTTTGCCTCCACAGTTTTTAAATCATCTTACAATGTTTTTTAGGGCCGGTTGGCTTTCAGAGCAACAACGTTCCCTTCAGAGAAGGCATGTTCACATCTATCGGTGAGGCTTTTATCTTTTTTTTTTTTTGTAAATCCAGATCAGTTTGAACCTTTTAACCCTCCAGGGTCTCGAGACTTCAAACAGCTCTCATATTTCTGTGTTTCCTGAGACCTTTAGTTTTATGATCGTGGAAACTAAACAGACCTGGATCGATTTTTGAGATTGTGCCAATTTCTTTTCCAGTTTTATTTCCTTGTCTGATCGGAATATCCTAAAAGCTTTCAAGTTATGGCGAGGAATGAACCATTATATTAAAAATAATTGAATGAATTGCTGCTTTTTTCTCAGAACCTGGATATTATAAAGAGAATGATTTTGGTATCCGGATTGAAGATATTGCAGTGACCCTACCTGTTAATACAAAGGTAGAGACAAAGCCAGACTTGATCCATAATCTACAACTTCTGGAAATTCTTGTTGAAAATATGCCTCAATGTCTTTCAGTATGGGAATAACTTCTTGACATTTGACACGGTGTCACTGGTTCCGTACGACAGGAAGCTGATTGACACCTCTCTCCTCAGCTCAGAGCAGGTGAGGATCCACTAGCGGACAGTTCTTTGGTTTTAAAAATTAAAGTAATGGTCACCATGAAGATATGACACAGTGTACTTCCCAATAATTATAACTATTTGTATCCTATGTTGATGTGTAAATGCATTTGAGTTTGTGAAATCACCCAAGTCTTTGTTTTTCCTGCAATTCAAGCCCTGGTTTCCTCTTAAAATCCCCCATGTACACGTGGGGTTAAGGTTTCTCTAAAGCTCAGATCTGAACGGAAATAGAAAGAAAAACATAACAGAACCACGTGTGACTTCAGCTTCTGTGTTTTGATTCCTGTTACTGAAGAGAAACTTCATCTTTACGTTAAAACAATCTGTAATGGAGCTCATTGTGTAATTAGAAGAAAATCATCGCAGTCAGTCAACCACTTTTTGTATCTGCATGTTTTCCAGCACACCGGCTGCAGCTTGGAGCAGATTCATGTTTATGAGTTTGAATTGAAATTTAGAACTCTTCAGACTAAAAGCCATTACATTGTTACACTTAGATGGAGAGTTAACTACATGTATGCGCTTTTTTTCAACAGCAGTGAGAGTAATAAGCCTTTCCCATGGGTTCTAATAACACTCTGTTCTTTCTTCTCTCTTCAGCTTCAGTGGTTAAATAAATACTACGATACCATCCGACGACTTCTGGGACCGGAGCTGGACAACCAGGGGCTTCACGAGGAGAAGGACTGGATGCTCAGGAACACGGAGCCCTTCCCCGGGACTGAATCCTCTGCCTCTGTCTCTTCCTCCTCATTGACTCTGATCATGCTGGCCATTGCTCTGCTCCACAATATCATCTGAGCATCTCCCATTGCACTTCTCTGCAGACTTGCACACTAAAGTTACCCCTATGCAGTCTCTTTGAGCAGCTATACCAGGTTGACAGATGCACAGGCATTAAAAAAAAAAAAAGTGAGATTTGTTTTATGACTATAATGTTCGGTCGATGATTTTGTGCTGTTCAAGGTTTATTGTGATATTCTGTTTGATTTTGAATGTTTAAACTTATGAGTTTTCGAACTGGAGACTTGAATGACCAGTTAATAATAATATATTTTATTAAAACAAAAATGAAAAAAACAACTTGAGTAGAAGTTGTGTCTAATGCGCTTAAGATGTTTACACTCGCTAATAGATAATAATGAATATTGAATTATTCTGATATTAATTTAACATCTGTACTGAAATCTATAGAGGTTTTAATCAGTTATGCCATTAGTTATGAACTTACCAAATTCTAAAATTGGTCTTATAAGTGTGCAATTTCCAACAGCTGGAATAGCAGGTGTTTCATTCAATCTGAATGCTAACCATGAAGAGGACCTTTTTCAAGATGCATAAACAAAGTAAACCTATATTTTCCCAATCATTTTAATTATTAAATGGACGATCAAAGTATAAAACATTCCAGCTGGTGACCCAACAACTTGGTCAAAGTTAAACCTTTTCACAGAGTTGGTCAAATGTAAGAAGAACCGATGAGTTTGCGTATTTAAGAAAATAATGTGACAAACATTGATGACGTAAACAGTTGAGGGGAGCCCCTTTTGTCTGACAAGCATGACTTCAGTTGACACCTTTGAATCGTTTAGTTTTAAACAATATGTATTTGTAGTTAATCACTGAAAACATCCCGTTTGAATGTAGTAGATTTTTCTTTTAATTGATTCAGGAAAAGAAAAGTTTTTTTCATGGTCCATTCGAGGCTGACACTGAGGGGAAATGTTGTGTTTATCCTCTATAATAAACTTCTAACAGAGTAACAACAGGAGTTAGCAAATAAAACAAAGGTTCATTTAGAAATGTAGAAAAAATATGTGGTCTTTTTTACAGCTGATGCCAGAATTTATGTTCTCGATGACAATAATAGTGCCATGTAAATCAACAGAAATGAGCTCGGTCATATAATACTGCCTCACAGAAAGAGAAACAGACAAAATTATGTCTTTAACAGGTACATTAAAATACTTTTTGGTGCTTTCAGAAAACCAAATTTGAGGGAAACCTCTTTCTGTAACTTCAGAATTTAATTGTACAATTCAGTTGCATCACTTCTTCCTTAATACAGTAAATTACATTGTGGTTAAAATTCCTGTTTTTTACATGAGCACTAACATAAACTGCTGTAACTTCCCTCTCATTAATTTAAGATATCTCAACCACAGTGATGTTCCACAGGGTGGAACAGCTTTCATGGTTTAAACCACTTTATTCTCCATTTCTCCATCCAAACATTTTGGCATATTTCTGAATAACTGAGGGATGTTATATACAGTTTGTTGCAATAATGTCTCTTAAATGTTGATATTGTTAAGTTGTTTATCAACCTTTGTCCATCAACCATTGACACTCCTTTTGGTTCAGTGTTTCAGGATCTTTGCTTTGCTCAGACCTAATATTTGCAAAGCTTTTCAGTGTCAAACTTTAAACCTCTCCTGTCTGTTCCTTTTTTTATAATTCTTATGAAAGTACATAAACACTAATGCTTTTTTTCTTATTTATATGTTTTATTAATAAACCTTTGAGTAGAACTGCAACCAAAACCATAAAAAAGCTTGTGAATATTACTTTTGCCAATTTCACCTGCAAAGTAGTGCACAGATAGATTACTCTGCCGAGTGTTTCACACTTATCCGTAACCAATTTAAACATTGTTGAAAGCTTGACAAGTATATTACCCTGATATGTGAACTCAGAGATAAAGGTCACTTGTACCATATTTAGAGGAACTGCGTGAGAGCAATTTTCAGCCACCAGCTTGCTGAAAAAAGCAACCCGTCAAAGATAAATGTCCTTGTTTGTGTGGCTTCAACCAGCTTCGAAAAGAGGATATTTGAATTTAGAACTGTTTATAAGCTGAGTCTATAGCGTTTTGCTCACATAGACAGAAATGAGGAAAAATGAGGGGGTAATGTATGCACGCATACGCGCCACACAGTCATAAACAACAATGCTAGTTGTGCCACCATGAAACAACAAGCAGATATTTTGCTCGACAGGATGGGGGCAGAGGGAGGAAATGGAGGACATGCTGCCTCAGATGGGACTCAAACCTGAGCCTGCTGCATCAAGGAGCGTTCATTCTCAGCCCACGTGTTACTTTTTTTAGCAATTTTCAGAGGTAAAATATCAATTCCATATATAATCAACACAAGCTGCAATCAAACTCCTGATTTCTAAATTCCCCAGAGTCAGGAATTCCATCTCTTTTGAAGGCAGCACCAAACTCTCATCAAAGTCCTCCAAAAACATTTTTTAATGTCAAACAGTCTGCGTGGTACATTGTACATTGCACATCAGTTGCTCAGCTAATGTTTTTTTTTTTTTTTCAAAGAATAAACATGCTGCATTAAATGGTCGTTTCTGGTCTTGTTGGGCCCGTTGGCTGGGCTCAGCTCCAGCTTTGGGGAGCCTCTGTCCACAGGCAGAGGGTTGCTCGGCAACCACTTTGTGGGTGTATGTGAAGTTGGGAAGGTGCACTCGCTGCATGCGCTGTTTAGATCTGCGAGTGCATGGAGGGTTGGACTGAGAAAAAGGGTGAGGTGTGTGGGCAGTGGAGGAGAAGAGGAAGTCCTGGGATGAGATCATTCTTTTCTGAGAACAAGGCTCTCTTCTGCTTTTGTCATGTTGTCGTTACTCTCGTAATTAAACATTCGTCTCCTCTAATGAGACGTCCTCGGAGCAGATCTGCACAGCAACTGTCATTAATATGGAGAGAAACTCTGGGGCTTTGCTGACAAATGAAGCTTGTGCAGTTTTTTTAAGCTGCCAGTATTTCCATTTGAGTCAGCTACAGCAGCTAAAAGTGTCTTCTTCTTCTTCTTCTTCTTTCTTACTGCCTCTGTCCGTTTTGTGATGATGAAGTCTTGCAAAAGTCTCCTAAACATTTATTGTTTTTAAGTATTCCAGATGAAGACAAATCAATTGTTGATCACATAAATAAATGGGAACCATCATAGCCTGGTATCGGGTCACAGTTTGTGGATATTCATAATCAAATTACAAATTGTGGAAAAATATCCAGGATACTGAAAAAGGGTTCAATTTGTGAACATCTTCTACTTATGTGTGTGTCAGTGACAGTGAGGGGGAGTTCAGTTTCAGACCTCTGTGACTGACACATGGTCACACAACACGGCATATGTAACACTGACCTATAAACACACACATCTGGCACAAAATGGATTCTTTCTCATTAGTAACAAGAATTTAAGATGAAAATCAGATAATGGGATCAAAAATGTTTGTAGTTTCTCTCAGTGTCTCAGTGGGACTGATTTTATGTGTGCAGCCTCTAGGATTTTTTCTCTCATGTGTCCTCAGTGTTCTGATGTTCTTCAGGTAATTGTAATGAACATAAATAGCTTGGGCCCCCTCTTTTGCATGTAAACCGGGACAAAGGAGAGAAGTCACCAGGCCTGGTTGAGATGTCACCCACAATGTCAAACCATCTGGAAATCACCTGTGAAAAAAGCCGAGGTCAACAATTCCTCACAGTACAGTGTGCCATCTGGTATCCTGCTGTTTGAATTCTGTGCATCTTAAACTGTATTTTTCCAAATGCTACACATCTTTTTCTATTTCAACTGTAAAATGTAATTTCTTATCTTTGATTTCACCAGAAGGAGCAAAATAATTGCAAGACGGTGATTTCAGATTTTTTAACATACATACAACCTGTGATAGCTGAAGTACAATTTTCTGACACTGTAATTACTGAGAAAACAAGAATATTCACTTATTAATTAATTTATTTATTTATTGTATTACTTATATATTCTGTATAAAAAAGTTTGAGTTGTAAGATTAGCTTTATTAAAGTGTCCAGTTTGTATTATTTCCCTCTAAACGTCGATCAGCTGATAGCCATTGTTGTCATCCTTTAAAGATCTTCAGTTGCTTCTGTTTGTTACCAACTTTTAGTCAAGTGACAGGAAACTAAAATAGGGCATCCTCCTATCATGTGGTTTTTACCCCACCAAAAAAGCAATTTAAAACATGCTCGCTTGATACTTCCTTCTCTACACTTACTGCCAGTCTATTTGCCTTGTTGTCCTGCACAGTGTACATGCAAAAGCACTCCCATTTCTGTGACTCACTCATGCCGTTTGGCCAAAATAATCTTTTTTTGGAAAGCATCAGCTTCTGTTGGGCTTCACTTGTGCAGAATCTTCTCCTGCTGGATGAACCAGACTGTCTGAGCACCAGATTGAAAATGTTAGCCTCTTCTAGTTGCAGCTGCAAAGCCGTTACTGAGTTTTCTAAATCTGTCATCGTATGTTGTCTTTCACTTCCACACCTCATTACGGGTTACTACGACTGCTGCTGAGCAACAAGCTAAAACAAAACTGTGAGGACACTGTGAGCACACAGGGCTGGATGCAAACTTGTATGTTGTTTTTACTTTAACGTGTTATAGTTGGGACCTTTCTACTTTGACTCATTCTAGGTTTTTCAAACTTTAAAAACAGTTTGTACAATTGTTTTATCTTCAAAGTGTTTGCAGTTGAAGTATAAAACTGAATTGTTATGTTTTCGTGAACTTCCACATGTGGGTCAGTTTAGTTTTTAGACACAAAGCATTTTTTCACATGCATTATGAGTAATACATGTAAGCCAACCAGTAGCCTTTTTGTGGTCCTGAGCACCAGAAACCGGGTATGCCTCTTCAGTTTCAAAGTAACCATGTGACTTCCTGGCTTTTTGCTCTTGATTTCGACTGCAGCAGAGTTCACTCCAACCCTCCTCTTTCTCTTCATCTGACTCTAGCTGTGACAGCACCGGGACAGAACTCCTCTCTGATTCAAAACGGTGCCGGTGTCTTTACAACTCTTTTTCCACGGAGATCTGAGGATCACTGAAGAAGAAGAAGATGCTGAGGCGAAGGCCTTCCAACGCCTCTGAGAAGGATCAGGCGCAGAAAAAGAAGGTCAGTTTTCTGGTTTAACTTTATCTGGAAGAAGGAGAGAAAGGGCTGCGAGTCGGTACAAATTGAGAATTTGCTCTTGTAGAAGTTAAATAATTCTGTTGTGAAACACTAGTTCACAACAGGACGCTCAGCTGTCTTTTGTGTGCACGACTTTTCAACACAGGATGTCAGCTCAAGTTAGCACAGAGCTCTGCGGTGACACTCAGCGACCACACACAGGCGCGCGTAGAAAAAAACAAGAAACTCACTAAGATATTCCAATATAAAACAAAAAAAATCGAACTGCAGCGTTGCGAAGTGGTGCCTCCTGAGTTCCTCCAGTGAGCCGGGTGATTCATGGCTGCAGATGCAGTTTGAGTCACCCCGGGCCTCTGTGGCCTCTGCTGCCCGCGTCTCCAGCTGTCACCACCACCGCCAGCCTCCTACACCCCACACCAGCGCCCTTTATTTTCCGTTCACATCTCTGCCGCTGTGGTGTAATTCACGCCTAGTCATTACACATCTCGCCGCCTTTGTGTTCTGTAAACATCTCTCGGCGCTTAACCGTCAAAAGGGAGAAACCTGGCCAGAAGGCCGGACCGTTGCCACTGTGATTATCAGCAACAATGGAGGATGTATTTTTGCTTAAGGTTTCGGCATTAAAAACAACACGTGGCACGTTAGAGGTTATTCCCCTCGTCTGGAAAGCGCCGGTGGTTTGATTCTTCAGGTTTTTTTTACGCAGGCCGGAGGCCACAAGCGCCTGCTGGATGTCTGCAATGATTGGCTGCCAGCAGTATCTTAAGCTTTGCCCTTTTCCTGTGGTTTCAACAAAGACAGCAGGATGAGCTGCAGCACGGCTTTTCAGAGTGACGCGGTTCAATGGAAAATTAGACAGAGAGTTTTCACCACAGGCAGAGGTAACTGTTCATAAAAGAATGTATGCAAAAGAAAGAAAACGGAAGGGACAGAGCAAGTTTTCTTTTTTTTTTAAATGTTACGTATAAAAGCAGAGTTGAGAGGATGAGTTACACAACTGATGTCAGGATGTTTGTTTTAAAATTGTTCAAAAACTAATAATTTATCAGAATTCCCCTTTTTTGATTCATTTTAAAAGTTCCTTATCTTTAGGTTTTGGACTACTCAAAGAAAAATACACATTTTTAGACTTTTCAACAGGAGAACCAGGAAGTTCTATTTACTGGCATGTTAATGACCAAATCATGCCAAAGTCTAAAAAAATAGCAAACCAACGTCTGTTCCTCTTTTGTTTAGATGGAACGTTTGCATCTTAATGTTGGTATTAAAGCGACACTTTAGAAATTCACGTTGACTTTTGTTGTGTACACTCCTGGGCCTGAAACTGCCCTAAAGTCATCTAGGGTGGCGATTCCTCAGTTCACGATTTTGGTTTCCAGCTCTCACCCACTTTATGGCCACCTGATATTATTTGTGGACCTTAGATGGCTTTTTTTCCCTCTTCAAAATAACCACAAACTCTCACAGCTGCATTTGTGGGACTCATATGGAGATGGCTTTCTTTATGACACAGATTCCACAGCTGCAGGGACACTGGGGTATCTGAATATAATGCCAGCTTCTCTTATTTACAGGCTGTTTGTGAACAACCAGACATTTTTTGTGTGTACCACATTTTGTCCGCTGAACGATTAGCACCATGCAGGCATTTCCAATCGAAGTGGTGTGAAACAGTGCCAGTTGTTGCTCTGAGAAATCCTTGTGCAGATACACTGTGTTCACACACTTGAGGAGATAAGAGGACACTTTGTGTGCGGAACGGTGAGGTCAGCATTATCTGAGTTGCACCAAAAACCACCAAACAACGGACAGACGTGTTTTGAAGTTATCTTGACGTTTGTCTTCTCTCACCATGTCGATGCGTTCACAGCTCACCCTGCAGAGATCAAGCAGCTTCAAGGATTTCATGAAGCCCAAACCCACCTCTCCTGTTGTGTCAGAGAAGGAGTTCTCTTTGGAGGAGAATGTGAGTAGCTACTCTTAAAAAAAAAACCACACGTAAAGATCAAACACAAAGCATTCAGTCAAGCAAAACCTGACTGTTTGCCAAAGTGGAAGTAGATGTTTTGTGAAGCTCTGAGTTCCCAAATGAAGGTTCCTCCGCGTAGTTCGTTAGATCTTCCACATTTATGGAGCGCTTCGTCCAGCTTCAGACATGGCTCTGCATCAGCACGGAGGCCAGGCTTCCTGATTTTACACCCCACTGCAAGTGTGAGCAGATGTTTGCACTTCACAATGCACACAACATGCTAATAACTTCCCGGCAACCTTTTGGTGGAAGTTGGAGAGGACAAGTAAGTGTAGAAGACATTGAAATGGAGAGGAAGTAAGAAGGAGAAGCAGTGCAATAAATGCAGATGACAGTGGCGTGCAGACAGGATGTCCTCTGGTGAGAGCTAGTCAAGCAGAGAGCCTCTGCATCAGACAGACGCAGCGAGCAGTCAAAAAGGAGTCTAACGGCTCTCCCCAGGAGAGCGTTTACATTTTAGATTAAATTTGTTCATTTCCGGACCTTTAACTCTAGCTTGCGCACTAAGTTTTCACGTCCTCTCACCTGTCCATCGGCTTTTCAACAGCTGACTCTCAGAACAGAACGTCAACAGGGAAAATTCTAATTTGATGCTTACAGCAGCGCACTGTGGGTGTAAAGGGAGCATAAACTCTGCTTTCAGGTACATGGCCACATTAAAGTGCAGGTGTGTTTTTGCATAAAAAACCTCATTACCACAAAACCGGCTGGTTTTCTAAAATGTGAGAATCAAACACATTTTTGATTGAGAGTGAAGCCATGATGATAACTATTTATGTCAGTGTCACAGTAAAAAAAAAAGCTTAATGAGCACATTTTTAGGTCAACAGCATCAGTGGTATTTAGACCAGTAACGTGCAAGAGGAATTAACCTTTTGAAAAACCATGTAATAGTTATAGGAGGATATAAACAAATAAGAAACCTCCTTAACATGACAACAGGAAACTCTACAATAAATTAACAGAGATGTTGAGGCACTCTTAGAGTTACTGGGGTTCCTTTTAGTGTCCCTAATCCTTAAACTTTGGGACAAACTAATGTGATAGCATCTGTTTTTTGTGTTTTTTTCAGGCAGCAGAAGACGTAACGGCAGAAGAAGCTGTGAAAAGTGGCAGCAAATTGGGGAAGAAATGGCGCAACGTCATCTCACGTACAATGACCCGCAAAACATCCAAAATGGTGCAGAGGGCACTGGCTGAGGAGGGGGTGAGTGAATAAGTTAGAGCAATGTGTCACATAAATCTGTTTTTGCGTTTATTACGATATATGTTCTAGCTGCATCCATGTCTTCTGTGTGTTCATCTATCCATCGTCTATATATGCTCATTCCTGGTGGTATGCCCAGGACAGGCTGCCTCTGCCCAGTCTTCTAAATTATTTGAATTTGTCTCCACCTGCTGGACTAATTTTACACAACATTTTTCATAACGGACATATCGCCCTGGGTTTTGTTGCTAAACACTGCAAAATGCATGTGCTTGGATAAAAGACAAACGAAGACGAGAAATGTTTAGATTTTAAGTTTGTTGTAGAATATAACAACAATGGACACATTTTTTTTCTATTGTTTTTCCTTTATTAAAGTTTATTTATCTTTAGAAAACTATGCACACCATCGTTATATTTCTGATGCCGTTAGTTTAAACGACCCCAGTTCAACAGTTTTTACAGTCAATTTTAGTTGTGTTGACCTCTGACCTGGTGTCCTCCAGGGGGAGAGCGGTGAGGAGTTATCCCCCGTTTCCCCGGACTGGCATCCAGACCTGACAGCGGGACAGAGGACGTCTGTGTGCTCCACGGGCTCAGAGGACACCACGCCGAGCCCCATCAGCCGCCAGCTTTCTGGCAGTAAGTCGGCACCTGCAAACCAGAGAAATCTGCCCCTGACTAGATAACACATGTAGGACAGAATAGACAGCGCCAGCCTCAAAGGTTCGGCTTTAGCTTTGTGGGGAAAGCACAAAATTCCAGCAATCTTCTAAAATAAATGGCCATCAGAGCATTGTGGGAACTGAAACCAAGACAAAGGAATTGACTTGTTTAACTAAATGCATTTTGTACAGGATTAGAATTCATATCATCTACTCCACATATGGTCCATATGGAGGTATTGAAAGTCTGACCCTTCTTCCGATCTGCCCGTCCTCAGGCAGTGACCGACAGAGCCTGGACAGCGGCTACTGCCAGCGGGACAGCATGAGGCTGGAGGAGAACGGCATCTCCTATAACGGGCCGTTCTGCGGCCGCGCCGTGGTCCACACCGACTTCACCCCCAGCCCGTACGACGTGGAGTCCCTGAAGCTCCAGGTGAGTGTCTCCCTCGCTGCCCGTGATCTGGCCCCTCGGCCCTGTCGAGTCCAGTCGTCCTCCGGGGAGCTCGTTAACATTACGAAACACAATGGTTTGTCCTGACTATCATCCCTAAAGACAGTCTTATCTGCAACGCCCAGCACTGACTGTCTGCGCCAATTTTACACTTATTTCCAATAATAAAAAGGTTCAAGGGAATGGAAATGTCTATTAATTCTGATTTTTAATGCTTCTGCACAACTGTGAATAATTTAAACCAGCTGGATGGATTCACTGAGCGGCCCAGAGTGGGCTTATCATGAAGAATTCTTGTTTTAGGTGCTTTGATCTGTCCCGAGTCTCCCGTCAGACCGTCGATAGCTACCTCGCCCTTCTGCTCACACATAATTTCTTCTTACAGAAAGGAGACATCATCCGCATCATTGACAAACCCCCCGTGGGCACCTGGACAGGGAAACTCAACAACAAAGTGGGCTCCTTTAAGTTCATCTACGTCAACCTCCTCCCCGACGAGAGCCCCCCGACGAGGAGGAGAGGCGGCAACAGCAAGAACCGCCGGTCCAAATCCAAGCCCAAAACCCTGGAGGAGGTCCTGGACATCATCGGCCTGATGGTGAGGCCAACGCGGCAGAGTTCTGCGCCACCTCCTACGCTCCACTGACTGACCTCCAATAAATCAGAATCAGAATCGTAAATACTTTAATAATCCCAGAGAGTTATTATTTATGTTACCAACTCCAGATATACAACAGCACATACATATATACATATACACATGTCCATATATGTATATATATCAAATATTCCACACAAAATACCAATAAATATATACACATGCAACTATATGTATATATACAGATCTAAAATAAGTGACAATGACAGTTCGAGAATAATAAATAAATGCCAATGAATTTGTAAGAATTTACAGAGGGGGGGGGTTCTCTCTGTAAATGTACATATGGAACATTAACTCCCTTTTGTTTCAGGAGCTGAGCTCCTTACTGTCCATGCACGGTTTCCAGAGCCTGGAGGACTTTGCGGGGCTCAAGGAATCTCACCTGAACGAGCTGAACATCACAGACCCGGAGCAGCGCTCCAAGATCCTGAACGCCACTGAGCTGCTCCAGGACTGTAGGTTTAAACGCAGAGAACCTGCAACACACAAAACCTCACGCTGCAGCGCAGCCCATAATTAAGAAATAAACCGATTTATTATCCTCAATCAGTTTAGAGATTTTTCTCAAATGTTTCAGGTTTCACTTTAAGCCTGGTTACTATTGATTACTTAATACAATTCAGAAGTCAGGCTAAAATCCTTTATGGCTCACTGTCATTTTCCACAGATGTAAGTGGTATTCTTGATTTTTAATTCAAGCAATTTTTTTTGTAGATATATCTAGAGAAAATATTTTTTTTAGATTTTGAGGAAATACAGAAACAGTCCGGGCAATCATGGTCAAAGTTCAATTCTCTGCTTTACTCAGTCAGCAGAAAACTGTGAAAAAAAGGAATTTGTGAAGAAGGTTTAAGTTGAAGTTGAATAAATGTGGAAGTTACAGTGTGGCCGTCTCTGCCTCATACAGCTGAAGGAGAGTCCGAGCCAGAGGAGGAGGACAAATCTGAGGGGGACCCAAAGGAGCCCAGGGACTCGGGCTGCTTCGAGAGCTCTGAGAATCTCCAGAACGGAGGCGAGGAGCTGAAGCGGGAGCCAGAGGCGAACGGGGAACCTGAGAAAAGCGACGGGGAGTCGGAGGAGACTCAGACAGAGCCGGTGGAGGCTGTGCAGGAGCAGCTGCGGGAGCTGACAGTGGACGAAGGACAGTGAGAGCCCGTGGAAAAAAGGCTGAAAGCTCTTCCATCCTGTCTCTACGGGACCTTGTAAATGCAGGTTTGAAGCCATTAAAACTTCTCTCTGTGCAGAGGAAGCAAACAGCTAAAAACTGAAATGCTGATGAACGCTTTGCCGTCGGGCCGACAGCACATCTGGATGCCAGCTGTCACCGTGGGTTACGCTCCTCTGAACTAAGTTGTTTATGATTCTTCGGAGGTGTCATGTGAAGTATGTGATTATGGTGGTACAAATGAAGTGTTTCCATTCTTTTTAGTGTGTTCTTGATGTTTTTATGTCCTCTACGGCAGTAAAGCCGAAAACAAGAATGTAAAATGTGTCTACCTTTGTTATGCAACTTCAATCCTGTTGACTTATGACGATATCTGTTATTTCTCATGAAGAGGTACTGTAAATACAAATAAAAACTATTCAGGGAGATGTGATTTCTAATAATCTAATCATTTGTCATCAACCTGATAGAAAAATCATAGATTTTAGTGACTCTTTTATATCCTTAGGAAGGAGGCTTAATTAATAACTTTTACTTTATAAAATGATAAGAACTGGAGGTCAGTTTGCTCACTGCTTCCAGCACATAGAGCTAAAACTGTTGTTATGGTGATGGTTATCATCATGAGATATCGTCATGACAACTGTGTAAAAGTGTTCAGCCTCTTCTCATTTCCTCATCGACTCACAGGAAGACATGTTTCTTTGTCCAGGAGTCGGGTGACTGGGGGTCGAAGGCTTTTTTTTTATTATTAACGAAAGTGCTAATAAAGAAAAAAAATAGCAGAAAGGTGTCTGATAGGAAAAATCCCATTATTTGTTCAGCTTCACCAGTGAGGATGGTCTGGTTACTGGTAACCCGAACCTTTAGACGTCATCAGATGCCACTGAAATGAACATCCTTAAAAAGACACTTTATTATAAGACATTGCTGTTTATTTAACAGACACATTGATCATGTAAAAAGAAGTGAAGTAAATTGAATGAAATACATGTAATCACAGTGTTGATACTAAAACAAGTGAACATAAATAAGCGTTCCATTGTAGTACGGTATCTGTATACATGAAGCAATGCATTAGAGTGATCAGAGCATTCAGATCTGATCCTGGTTTCAACACAAGAATTATAAATACAAGAGCTCAGCTTGGTCAGCAGAAACTTAAAAGTCCATCCGTCCCTTTAACATGTGCTTTGAAAACACAAACATCCTTCTTATCAAATATTCACAACGTACATTCTTGCTTCTGAGTGACAACAACTCTCTAATCCACCAAAATGTTGTCAAACGCCTTCCAATAAAAGAAGTTCAGCTATCGAGTGCTTTGTACTAGAAAGATAATCGTCTTGAGTGTTCCGAATTTCCTGGAGAATAGTCTAAATCAAAATACTGCCACACATATTACAACATCTCCCAGTAGAGATGAGCAAGATTACCTACATTTTGAGTCATGAACAACAACAATTCCATCAGTAAGTTTTAAAAGATTACAACTTGAAGATTCTCCAATGTAAACATTTGCTTGATTAATTATCAACAAAACTGAGCAATTGAAGGGTTTTGACTGTGTTATTTTAGTTTGAAATATCTTCGAAGGAAATTAAAGAGCTTTGACTGGTAAAATAATTCATATTGGGCAGACAATTCTGATACAATACTAAATTTCTACACAGGCAGGATTCACAAACACAAACTCTGTCTTGCATACGATACTACCACTAATACAAACTCTCGCTATCAGCTAACATCGTCTAAACACAAAGAATTAGCTGGACTTTTTCTAATTTCCCTCTCTTTGAGGACACTTTCTCATCACCCTACTCCTTTGACAGAAAACCATTTTGAAAAACTTTGTGAAATTGAATGACTTTCTATCAAAATTAACCTCCAGCAGCCTGCAATGGAAATGGCCTGAGCCATGGAAGGACCGCAGGAGTCTCCAGAGAGGAAGAGTTTACTTCAGAGGCAGAAGATGGCAGAAAGAAAAACAGATCAGCCCCACATTGACTGACATGAGGAGATACTGAACAACCAACCTTTCTATCTACACTGAGTAGTTAAATGTGTCACCTCCAAAAAGTACAACAGATAATAGTTTTTCTTGATTCTTTACTTCTTTACTCGCATCATTTATCAGTTTTGGGCAAAGAAGTTACTTAGATCTACAGTTTTCTGTAACATCCTTTCGAAAGAATGATTATTTTAAGTATGATTTTTAAACTTTTAATAGTTTATGGAGAAAATTTTGTTTCACCTAATAAAAAAGGCTGTTTTTTTTATATATCTTTCCCATTTCGAGATGACATTCTTGTGTACTACTTTCTTACTTTCTGGGAGTTTAATGAAGAGATCCATACTGCTCTGAAAGCTTAGCTTAGCATTAAGGACAGGAAACAGGCAGGTTAGACAGAGGGGTGGAATAGCAGAATCTAGATGTCTAGGGCTGTTCAGCATTTAACAAAATACAACTGGCAGCATCTCTAAATTCAATGTAAAAAGTCTGAGCTTTTTAAATGTGCTTAGACATGTTGTTCCAAGTTTTTGGATGATAAGCAGCTGTTGGCTTTATTTTCAGACTTAACGGGCAGTCTCAATAATACTGGCTACTAATTCATCTGGGCAAGAAAGTAAATAACCTTCATAGAAAGTCTAAACCAACCTTTGAATGTTCAATGTGTCAAAAGGTTCATCCCATTTGACACAACCAGGTATGTTTCAGTGTCAGTAGACTCACCAACACTAAAGTATGCAACTGCCAATTTTAACCATATTTCCCTGGACAAACAACACACTGATTTTGATATTTTAACCCAATTCGGCAAGTAAAAAAAGGTTTGCTTTGCACAAAGTCAAACCATTTTCGTCAATCACCATCAGCGGGACTTGTCTGTTGATAGGAGAAGTCAAGCTAGGCTAAACTAAACCAAACTAAACTATACTAACCTAAGCTAAGCTATGCTAAACTGCTGAAAGAGACATGGGAATTATTCAAATCTACTCCTCCAACATGGCAAGAAAGTGAATCGACTTGTGTCCAAGAGAGTCAAATCGACTTTAAACTTTGAAAATCTCATAAGATTAATCTAATTTCTCATAAAACACTTCCGATTAGTCACAATGCTAAGATGCTGCTGGCAGTTGCTTCAGATCGAATGCCTGAGTGGTATCAATCTACTCATAAAACTATCCGCAAGAAAATACAATTTTTTATCCCCAGAAGATCAGACTATTTCCTTAAATTATCCATAAGAGTAATTTCATTTCTAATTGATCTCATCAGGACTTGGTTGACCTCTGCAGCTGTAGGCGGTGCAACCGTTTCGATAAGGCACTGTTACTACGAGTGTCTATGCTCATCAGGCCTTTTCTCTCACATTCTGGGGCTCAACGTCAACTGTTAAAACGAGTCCGATCTATTTCAAAGCGCTATCCTCACCGCGCATCCTTGATAACATAAAAACATAAGGACAGCTGTTGGTCTGAATGAGGTCGCGTTAAAAACTAAAGTTGCACGTAAGGGACAACAGTACTGAACGCAGCAATCTGAAGACAAGGTAGATTTTTGTCTGGAAGGGGCCTGCGGACGTCTCGGCCAAAGATTCTTCTCCATTCAGGGGCATTCGGTGTAATCGCAGAGATCAAACCTTGGAGCCTAAATACTTCGAAAAGATGCTTTTCCAGTCTTCTTGTGGTTTGCATAGGGCATGTGATGTATGCACAACATGAATGACTTGAGTTTTACACATGTCCAGAAGTCATACCCTATGTCTGCCGGAGATAGAGGATATTAGAACTGGTCTCACGATAAATGTCATTATACAACTTTAAATTAAAAACAAATTTACTGACAATCAGAAACAAGCCCACAGTTTTGTGTGTGGCTCTCTCCAACCCGGCAGCTTCACCCATGCCTGTCTTTTCCATGCAGTGTTCAGGGGGCAGGAAGCTGCGTCCGTCCTTTTAATCACTCCTCCTGCTTCAGGAGTCGAGTGTCAATCAAAGAGCTCTGCAGCTGCTGCTGGGAAGAGGGAAGAGGGGAGGGGCGGGGGGGGGGGGGGGGGGGGGGAGCCGCATTAGAGGCTCCAGTTCTCCAGCGGGCATCAGGGGTGGAGTCAGGGAATAACTGAGTCACTAGCACAGGAGTCAGAGAGGAACGTTTCAGTTCGGGGGCGGTAAGCATGGTGGACCAGAGGTCCCGACCGGGGACCATGCAGCTAATGGGTCTTGTCCTTGGTGATAGAGGCCTCTGCGTCGGTCTCGGGGGAGGCCAGGGGCGGCAGCTTCGGAGCCGCAGGATGCTCCTCTTTAGAGGCGGGGCTCTTCTCTTTGGGGGACGGGGTCTTCTCTGCTGAGGCGGCAATGCTCGGCTTGGCGTCGTCGGGCGTGTGCTCATTGGGGATGAGGGGAGCGGTAGTTTTCTGTAAGAGGCAAAATAGAGGCGGATCGGTGCAAAAGAACATGGAAAACAGAGATATGTGGTTTCCTTAGATGTGAGCGCAATCTTGCTTAAAAATATTGCAGCTTTAAAAATGGCTGCCATGTTTGGGACATGGACCCCATCACCCAGATATGTCATTTTCCTCTTTGTTTATGAAGTAAAGGGTGTTCTTTGACTGTTTTTCTCGCATTATCTACCTTTCTGCTCTGCATTTGTTGTGCATCAGACTGCTTTAAGGAGGATTCTGTGTGAATGAAGTGGTTAGAGTGGGAGTTCCTCTGGGCCTGCTCACCGTGGTCTGTGGCACTGGGTTGCTGAAGGCAGAGAGACCCGCACCGGCTGCAGAAAGAGGCGAATCCTCCTGCATCAGGCCTCTTCTGTCCAAGACGCTGTGAAATGATACCAAGCAATCAGTCAGCAACTGCGCTTTGCTCGTTACTCACCAGAAATGAGGAGGATCTGAGAGCCGGCAAAGCGCTCGCTCACCTCGGGTACGCCGGTCCACACAGAACCTCACAGCAGTTTTTAAAGATGTTCTTGTGGCTGTACGGGTTCTGGACTCTGTTCTTTCCTGACCAGGATCCTTTAATCTGGGAAAACAACACCAATTACGTCTGTCAGTCATCTAAATGCAGTCAAGAAACAGAAATAAGATTGCATCTGTCGGTGGAGCAGCGACCAACGTTCTCCCTGAGCTTATACCTTATTTAAAGACATACTTCCATTTTTAGATGTTATTCCTACAGGCTTGGGCATGACCTAATAAAATATATCTTGTCAGGATTCAATGAATGCTGATTTAATAGGAACTCTGTGTTAAGATGGGTTGTTTTGAAACTGAATTTCCCTCAACAGGATTAGTGTCTACTCGTTCTATTTATTTGATAAAAGAAGAGAAAAAAACTGACATTTTAGAAATTCATTGACATTTGATATTTTGACAGCAGTCATATCGCCCTCATCCTTCATAGTTTTCCTACAATGTTTAATTATGCCACACTCTGTATATATAGCACATCAAACACTAACATTCTGCTAGCTCTCCCAGGCTACAGTCACTTAATATTCTTACTGAACTCAGCAGATGAGAGAAAATCTGAGTTGTGCACAGCTGTGTCACGTTTTGTCCAAACAGAAAGCTTTGAGATCTTATAAAGATCCTGGTTTTGTCTCTCAGGCTTCAAACACCTTGATGGTGAAACGTTCAGAGGAGCACACAGCAGGACAAAAATATCTCCAGATATCAACACTGCTTCTCTCTATGCCTTTTAGTTTTTTTTGGGGGGGGTGTTAAAAAAAGATACTTTCTATCAAAGAAGGGCTGGAATTTATTCGTTTCTGTGATAACAGAACAGATATTATAGTCCAATTAATGTAGAAAAAAGGGATATATTGATTAATGTGGACGTCTATTCTGAATAAACTAACTGCCCTTCCTGCACTGCAAAAAAAAACAGCCTTTAGATGTTGGAAATGTGGGTCATCTGCCCGCCCAAGGCTCCCCAGCACTGCACGCCTCGGTGCATCTGCAGGATGGAGAGTGGGAGACACAGAGCGTGCGCCAACCATGAGAGTCCCCAGCAGCTATAAAACTCAAGGTGCCTTCCCTCTCCTCCGTGTCCACCCTCCTCTTCCTCACCCCAGCCACGGCAGCCATTCTGGCTGCGATCCCAGCCCCTGCAGGTATCGATGCATCTATTATTAGGCCGATCACAGGCATCGGAGCGGTTGGGCTGACGGCCATCGTTTGAACATTACGCCGGAGTCAAGCGGTGCACGGAGAGGAGGGAGAAAATTAGGCCAGCCAGCCCACTAGAAAGTACGCGTGGATTTATAAATTAATCATTACGACAAAGTACGCATGTTCCCTTTTCCTTTCCGCCATCCAGAGGCTCTAACCGCCGTCACTGCTGTTTCTCATCAGAGCTTTTGCAGTCAGATGTGGCCGACTAAGGCCCGGATAAAGTACACACAGCTCTGCATCTGCATCCCTCAGCTGCTGTAACTTAGCCTCCGTCTGTTTCTGTGTGGTGACTAAATAATGACTCAGTGCAGCTGAAAACAATCAATACTTCTTTTTTTTTACCCCCCCTTGCTTCTGGCCTCAGAGAAGCTGTCTTAATGTAGCCGGCAAGTCGAGAGACGGAACCCAGCAGCTCTTTGTTACCTTGAAATTTATCAACACTTTTAATAAGAAAAGCAGCTATTCATATGTATCATTAGATGACTAGAGAGCGTGAACCTGCTGCTGAGGAGTCCGACTTCCAGTTTTAGCTTTGAAAACCTTTAGCAGAGAATCTAGCTCATAAAACTGAACCTCATTGAAGGAAATCTCCATCTAAATAAGCCAACAAGGAACAAAAAAAAAAGCCTTAGTTAAATAGGGGTGGGTTTTTCTCTTTCTATCCCGAGTCATCCTGTCTTTTCTCTTTGCTGTTCTTTAGTTTACAATATAACAACCTTGTTTAACAAGGTACAGTTTAACCACCCTCTGTCCTTCGGCACTGAAGGAGGTGGTGCTGTTGTCAAGGTAACAACTCTCCCACTCTTAGAAATAGCAGTGTTTACACCTCGAGAAGTTCTGTTTGCCTTTCCATGCGAGAGAAGCCGGGCTGACTGATTGCAGTATTTGCATAAGCGCGCAAAAAACTCTATTATCATGATTTGGGTACTTTCTGTTAAAGGCGACGCAGACATTGAACTCAAACACACGTCAAAGCCTTCATTTAAACCCTGGTATTCGTGAAGATTAGAATGACACGTGCACGTCAAAGACCTTTGTTCATCGTTTGGTCTCGCATTAATCAGTTGTACTTTAATCTGGTATTTTATGGCCAGAAAAGGTTATTAAAGTGATTTGTTCATGGCAGTGAAACGCAGCCATTGCATCATTGTCTGTATACTAAAAACATAATCTAAAAAGAGAAAGAAAAAAGACTAAACAATGACACGTGTCATTTGGTTTTTATGCATATCTATAAAACCGCTTTGGTGGAAATGATTTCCGTAGTCTAAGCCGCAGCAGGGGCAGATTTGCATGTTTCCCAGGATGACTAAATGACATGATGCTATCTTGCAATCAAACAAGTTTCAAAGGAACCAGATGTCAATATCAAGAACTCCTCATGTCCAGCAGGAAAGTCATCTTCACTCGAAGAACTCTGCAAAGTCCAAACATGGACGCTCTGCAGACACAACTGGAACGTAGAGGCCGTCGTGTCTTACAGCCTCGTGTGTGTGCGGGCTGTGAATTATTGTTTACTGCTGAGTGAGCTGTGTGACACGTTTGGAAAGTTTTGCTGCCAACAGAAGAGTGAACTCCCCCTCAGGCTGCTGTTAGAAATGTGATCTGAGTGAACGCAGGATCGGTAAATAAAAGGCTCCTCCGTGTTTCATCTGCTATCGACCTGCTTTAACGTGTACGCAGATGACCACGGGCGTCACATTATGTCCATCTAAAGTATTTTCAGAAAGCTCAAAAGGAATTAGCTTTTTGGACCACCGTACATAAGAGAAGTGAAGATTTTTTATTTATTTATGCTGTAATATGTCTATTTGAGTCACAGCAAAAAGAGGCCTCTGTTGCTATGTGACAGAAACCTAACCAGGGGGAGCTTCATTTTAATCATTTAGAAAAACAAAAATTAAACTAATGGTTAAAAAAATAATTCAAAATCAAACTAACATTGCCACTCCACCAATAAACAAAATTCAACTTTGGAAAAGACACAATTGCATATTTGGTCCCCAGCTGGGTAAAACAGACACGTTCAGGTGTTGATATAAATTGAATCTCCGTAATAATGGTGAAAAGAAACACTTACATCCTCATTGGTGGTCTGGTTGAGAGAGATCAGGTAGGTGTGGAAGCCCGTCAGTCCCACCACCGACCACAGGGTGAAGAAACACACCAGCACCTCCAACACAGTGCGCGCCAGTTAAGGAAACAACAGATGTTTATGGCTGACTCATGGACACTGATTAAACACTGAACTGCAGGTGGTGGGAAAAAAGCTCCAGATTACACAACATGATCGAAGAGAAAGTCCCAGGAGGAACAAAGAGAACGTGAATTGAACCCTGGAGAAGTCTGGATATTGTTGCTACATAGATTCTGTAGAATATATTATGCAGATTATTGCAAGACGATTACGTTTATTTCAAATGAATAATTAAATATATACAAAAAGGACATTTTGACCACAAAATTTCCGCACAAAGTAGGATACCTGTGATTCTTATCCCCCAACCGACCTGATTGGGCGGTAGTACTTTAGAGAGTCACTTTACTTTGGGTGTGTTGTTTACAGTGGCAAACATACCCTGTCTCCTAAGTCAGAGTAAAGCAAGTCAGATAAAGAGAATCCAAAAAGTTTTAAATGAGCTGCAAACTTCTCAGCTCTATGGGAAGGTGCCACTTTGCCAGAATTTCGTCATCCACTGCTTCATGTGGATGCACTGCTGCTCTGACAGACCTGTCAGAAGCACCAGAAGTTTCTATTTAGTGGAGTGAACTGCAAAGTTTTCATGGGACTTAAAGTCACAGTGAAATGCAGCCACTGTCAGTGAAAAGTAATCTTTTTGTAGTTTTAGGGGAAAAAAATAGAATGAAAAGTAACGGGTATTTGCAACTAAATTAATGGTTGTGAGTAAATCATTTCCGCAAGTAAAGTTTTCCACATTCTTTAGATACACAATAAATCTAAATCTATATCGAACTGGTAAAGGGGGTTTAAAACTAGCTACTGGTAACTAGTGAAGAGGGTTTTTTTCCTGGTTACCTCCTAAGTTCTACGTCACACCATGTAGCACATGCCTTACAAAACCTGGTAAAAGTATAAAAAATCCAAAGCTCAGAGGATAACATGGATTATTATCTAACGCATTTATTCTCATCTAAATATTTTTCATAAATATTTGTATTTCTATTAAAAAAAGAAGAGGTTGGAAACAGCTTCAGAAGCAAAGCTAAAGAAGCGGTTATAGCATATCTTAATAATCTGTTATTAAGTTTGCGTGTGAGAGCATATTAAAACAGGCATAAATTATGCTTTCCCTTTTCCCCCTTTTTAACCTCATAAATCTGGGAATCACAGGACCCACAGGAATGATGTGTCAGCAGTACAGAGTGATTTCAGAGAGCAGAACAGCTCAGTGGAGATCTGCTCAGAGATGCCATTCAAACACGGCACAGTACTAAAGGCTTTACGGGCACAAACTGTGTTCACAGCATAAAAGGATATGTTCCGGGGGTGTCCTTTAAAGTGTTCAAAAATCCGTTGTCCACCGAGCCTGTGTAAAGGAGACACACAGAGGACGTTAAAGTTAGTTTTTTTCTTTATTTCATTCTACTGAATATACATAATTCTTCCATATGGCCCAGGATTAACAATACCAAAAGCCCAATGGAAAATTCTCCAGTTCTCTCTGGCTCACTGCTGCCCATGTGGAGTAAAAACAAGGGAAGCTGACTTCTGCTTCTGCTCAAGCATCAACAGGGTTTAAACTAATCTGCATTACTTTCTATACTGATTCTCGGTTCCTATCAGGACTGTGTCCCGGGCTGCCCTGCTTGTTCTGCCACATTCTTGCCGTTACACATTTTCCAAGCAACCGGCGGGATACTTACGCATGACCACGTGGACGATGTCAAAGGTGAAGATATAGATAGTGAGCAGGGAGAGGGACAGGGTGAACAGGTAGAAGTACCGGTAGTTCCTCTTGCCCACACAGTTGCCCACCCATGGACAGTGGTGATCAAACCGGTCTGAAAACGAAGAAAACATGGTTCTTTAAGGATCGAAAGTACAATTTTAGAATCAAACGTGTGTTTGAAACCCTCCACAAAAACAACTCTGTGCGTCAGCTTTTGCAGATAGAAAGTCTAAATATAGCAAACACACTTTTCTTGTCCTTGGATATGATTTGTAGGAGTCAGACGCACTATCCACAATGCAGCACTATCTTCATTTACTGGGGCAGAAACAAGTCAGAAATGCAAGTCGTGGGGCAGATTACGCGTAGGAAGAGTAAAGGAATAGATACACCTTTATTTTTCTGTCGGGCTTAAGCTTTTACAGTCCCCAGAGGCTTCAGACTGAGCACCAGGCTTAACTCCAGGCTGTATCATCTGTGTAAAACTTCCCCTCACTTCTCTGCTTTAGTTCCGAACCAAGCTGATGCTTAAACCTGCTTCGTATGAATCGGACTGATTTGGAATTGAATGAATTGGAATGGATTGGATTGTAGTCGCTGAATGAATAAAACTGATTTGATCTGAACTTGTCAACTTGACGGCTTTAAACGACAGACTGAACTGGAAACATCCCAGTGTAACCCCTTAGAGGTGGATTAGTTGTGTTGTGTGAAAAAGGTAGGAATTCAATTTGGAAGTGGGAACAATTCAGCTACGAACATCACCAAAACTCATTTTTAAGAAGGGTGTGACACAAATGGAGGAAATGACTTTAAGGGCAGTTTCTCTCTGCGGTAACCGTGAATGCGTCGAACAGCTGTAAAGGCAGCTTCTTTACATCAGTCAACTGTAGAAAAAAGGAGCTCTAGGGGTTGTCTACACTTTTTTGAAACAGGTTTAGTGTGTGTATCAAGTTCAGGTTACGCATGCGTGGTCTTTATGCAACTTCACAGCTTCAGTAAAGGAAAAAAGAGAGAAAAACAAATGTATCATTGTTTCCTTGCCGCCTGAGAGAGAGACAGAGGAAATCTGAGCGCCTATCACTCAGGTTTCAAATAGAAATAAACATTAAATTCCCAGTTGGTTGCTCACTGAGTGTTGACAGATGATCAATACCGAGCAACAGTTGATAGTGCACCCATCTATGTGTCGCCCCGCTGGCTTTTAAGAGCTGACAGAGGGCTGCGGCACAATAATCCTCCGCACCGTTCGGTCAGTTTCAGAGTGGTGAGCATTTCACTCGCTTAATAATTAAGTTGAACTTCCATTTCTCTGTTGTGCAGTGATTCAGCAGTCTGAGGTTTTCCGGCGCACTTTGAACGCAGACTTATCCTTTTCAAACCCTTTTATTACATATTTGCTTGACTCAAAAAAGACTCAGCTGTATTTTTTGCATTAATCTTGTTCCTTATTACAGTGTAGACGGAATATAACTCCACAGTTTTTAGGCCAGTCAAGCTGCTACCTGCAGCAAAAGAGGCATGCAGACGTGTACTGTGTGTGTCAGTGAGTGTGTGTGTGGGTGTGTGTGTGTCTACAGCAGGTGGATACAGAAGAACCAGTGTTCACAATGACTTGGCACTTATTTCCTGACTGAGGTTCCACTGTCTCCTCTCATATCGCCCATGACTCCACACTCCCTTCAAACACATTCCTCAAACACCAGCACCCAAATCCCTCTTTTTCCCGCAGGTCGAGACTCTTTACACACACGTTCACCAATCAAAACGCCCCGGGATTCAAAGCATGTTCAACATTTATTTATAGAGCTGTTCAAGTCCTTTTTTAAAACCTCCATGACAACGACGCAGAGCGGTAATTAAAGCACAGCCGTCAGAAATAATCAAGTCAGTACAGTCTTGCTTTTTTTCTTTTGCTATTTCATCCAGAATTAAACTGACCCGCCTCAGCTTTCCACCCTTAAAAAGCTTCATCTGAGCAGATCAGAGCCGTCTTACCGACGCAGTTGTCACAGATGCTGCAGTGAGAAGCCCGCGGGGGGCGGAAGATCTTGCAGGTGTAGCAGTACTTGAGCTTGACGATCTGGTTGTTGATCTGGACGTTGCGGATTCGAGGCGGCGGCCGCTGGCCGGCGGGAACATTGCCATTGGCGGCTTCTGCGGAGACAAAGTCAGACGGGAGGGTCAGTGTGAGAGGGGGTCCAGGATCTGGTCGGACAGGAAAACTCCAGGGTGTACATCTTTACAGCTAAACTTTGATAATATCAGCGAATCACGAGATTGGCTCAATAAAACACTCATGACGGTGTGTGTGTGTGTGTGTGTGTGTGGGTGTGTAATTACTACTGAGCAGTTTGTATTTATTTTATTGGGAGTTCAACATTCTCCAAGCATAAAAAAGATCATAATTCAAAGTCACAATTTTTAAATGAGTCCACACAGTTGTGGTGGCCAAATTGATACAATCATTTGTCTATTTTCAATATCAGATTTTACCCTTTTCGGGATCCAAAGAAGGCTTGAGCCACCTGGTGAGAGGCAGGGAATACCCTGGACTTCTGCTTTAGTTTGATACCAAACTAAATCATCATATATTTATTGTCTTTTTCCTGATTAATCTACTCAACTGAAGGTGGAAGGGCTCTGATAAAGCAGGGCTTCTGGCTGGATGAAATGTGGAGAAATCCACCACTGAAATGCTGCAGTAAGAAGGCACCAACGTGAAGTCGAGGTACATTAAGATACATTTTTAAAAAGTGGTATTTGTCTAAATCATGGTCTCTGGCCTAAACATGATCAGCTCCTTAATAAAGATTCCCTGTTCTGTAAAACACGGCCATATCTGCAATAATAAAAATTCACCAACTGCACGTATAAAATATGCATGAGCATCTGTAAAAACCATTTCAAAAGACGTGAGAGCCGAAAATATTTTGTTTCTGTCTGCAAAATGGTAGCATTATGCATCGACGGGACGTAGGATTAGTGGCCTTCAGGATAAACCAGATAAACACATCTATGAGTCATCACTCACGAGGAATGATGTTGCTCCCTCGAGTAGCGCGGCTCAATCTGTCGGTGGCATTACGCATTCCACAAGGATGCATCTCCTCGTATTAGCATCCCCCCGGGGGACCGCCGCTAACAGGCTGAGGGGACGGCGTGCGGAGGCTGCCTTTAGCACACCCTCCATTACAGCAAAGCGCAAACACCCAAACAGCCGTACCTCGTACGACTTGTGTGAGATGACCGGGTTACAAGAAGGGGGAAAAAATGTCACCATGAAGTCTCACTTAGGTGTTGGACAGCATGCGGCACCAACAAAAAAATGTGATATTTATTCAGCCAGTTTCTGGAATGAATTCTGTCCACAGAGAGGATTTAACGTCCTGATAATTTTGGAGGCGAGTGCTGTCTAAAATTTAATCTAAAGTCTCACAAAGCTGCTCATCAGAACTGAAATCAGTGTCCCCTTCTGTAATTCCACTGAAAAGGGCACCAGTAAAGAAAGTCACTACGACAACTTAAGGACGCTGACAAAAGTCTAGGTAGATATTGTGACCTTGTATTAAACTTTGCTTTAAATACTTTTATATTGTCGTAACTTACTTGATTAGTCAGTTTATTTACTGGTGGGGGAAAGGCCAAACCAAACCCAAAATACTAAGGACATCGTTACAGAGCACTCATATCACAGAGGTGAAGATGGGAATTGAATGAATGTTCACCTTCAAATTCTGAAACACAAATACATCCGTGAATTTATTTGTGAAATAAATCCATAAATCCATGAATTTATTTTTGTCTTCTGACTCATTCGTTAGCCCTCTTAACTGATTCATTCCGCAGATTCTGACAAAGGGTCATCCTCTGACTCGGAGCAGGACTTGCAGGTTCCCGTTGAGGGTCAGAGCCGATCTGCCCGGTGAGTCACAGACATAATGAGGCAGCTAACTCATACTCAGAGGACCGGCAGCCTCAGCCTGGCTTTTAAAGCCCTCCTCCGTCGTGAGCAGGGGCCGGCCTCCGCCCATGCCTCTGCTCCATGACGGATGACGGATGCTGCGAATCTCTAACGGAGACAAAGAGCACAGAGGAGCAGCGCAGGGGAGGGAGAGATGTCGGGTGGGATGCTGCAGAAAGGCAGCGCAGTTCAATGAAAAAAATGTTTTTTTACAAACTCGTACAGTTTTTTTGAAGAAAAAGAATAATGTCCTTAAACCTAAATCTTATAAAGCACAAGGCAAATGGAAAAATATGTTTTTTTTTCAAACTCGTACAGTTTTTTTTTAAAGAAAAAGAATAATGTCCTTAAACCTAAATCTTATAAAGCACAACGCAAATGGAAAATTATGTTTTTTTTTCAAACTCGTACAGTTTTTTTTTAAGAAAAAGAATAATGTACTTAAACCTAAATTTTATAAAGCACAACGCAAATGGAAAAATATGTCTTTTTTTTCAACTCGTACAGTTTTTTTGAGGAAAAAAATAATGTACTTAAACCTAAATTTGATCAAACACAACGCAAATGGAAAAATACACTTTTTTTTCAAACTCGTACAGTTTTTTTAAGGAAAAAAATAATGTACTTCAACCTAAATTATATAAAACACAACGCATATGAATAAATCAGCAGGGCTGAGGCTGTGTGGTGCCTCACAAACCAACCCACTGAAATATTCACTATTCCTAAATATTTCCGGTTTGACGGCTTCCGCCTAATTTACAGCTCAAATGTCTGGATTTGATGGAGACAGCTCCCCAGGTGTCTGCGATGTGACGGCTCACAGACGCTTAGGCCCATGCATGCTGGCGCCGGCTTAACATTTGAATGCTTGCTGATAAAAAAGACTGTTGACTGTATCGTGAGCTCTGATAGCGAACCGTAGCTCCACACAGTTCAAGGACACCGGAGGAGGTGAGGCAACAAGCTATTTAAAAACCCTCACTATATCACTGAGAGGTGCGTGACTGAATGGGGACATGTCTGGGGAAACCTGTGAGGAATTGCACCAAACGGACAAAACTGGCAAAACTGGAAAACCGTGCACATCGAAAAGCTCACTTCTGTTTAAATCGGCTATTTTAGTCAAGCTCAGTCAAAAATTATAGAAGGCAGAAAAGATAATTGATGCAAATTGCCTTGATGTTTATCAGAAAACGACAAAAGAAAAAAGGCAAGCCTGAGCACATGCAGCAGTTAAGGTTAAAGTTGTGATATGAGGTCCTGTTTGTGTTCACCTGATTAATGTGGGTCAAGAAAACAGAAGACGGCGAGGCCAAAAAGTAAACATGTGAAACTGAAAACGGTCAAAATGCCACCTGAGGTGAATGCAGATCCAGAAGGACAACCAGTTCAAAATGAGTTCAAATTGAACTTAATTTCAACTCAATTTGTCGGAAAACAGTTATTTTCCATACAGCTTTCTGAGTCTGATCAGGCTGATACCAGTCAGAGCTGAGAGGGAAACTTTCAGGAAATGGACAGCCTCCCTAACTTCTCTTTTAATAAGAAAGCCATAAACAGGCAAAGGGAAACAGTCATTTAATGGAGACGAGTAACAGCTGCCTGCTGCAAGCTAAAAAACGGTTGATCAATCTGGTGTCGGGGAACCGACCCTTTAATTTAGCAGGTTACACTGCAAATAAAACAGCTCCGTGGAAACCGAGCAGAGCTGCAGATCCAAATTATTTTCACATCGACATGTTGCCTTCATATTTTTCTCAACAACTGCAATTCTCTGCTTCACTGTTATTGATCGGAAGAGGGCAAGGCCGAGTTAAATCGATCAAATCTGAGACCCGACCACACCCTCACAGTAAAATGAAACACATCAACAATGATACAGGCTTTTTTTTTCCATTTTGGTGCTAAACCTAAGTTAATGTGAGAATGACAGATTCGAGGCCAGTTTTTTTAGGGGAATACAAATGCAAAACAATGCCGTCTGAAAGATAGATGAGTTTATCTGCCTGTAAACTCTTTTCTGGAACTCACCGATTTCCATCTCGATGAAAGTTGCTTCCTCTGGGAGAGCCCGCGGGAGCACCCCCGGGTCACTGAAGCTGGTCCTCAGCAACATGGCCATCACAAACAAGAAGAGCAGGGCAGCAAAAACTGGGATGGCAGGGGACAGATGGATAGCCAGGTATGGACATCTGTAGGAGAGGATAACGGATAAAGACAAAATCCAGTTGAAATATGAATGTTGTGATGTGATTCGATGGTTTTTGTGAACACTTTCTGGTACCAGCATCTAATATTCTCTTTTTATCTAATCCACTTTCTTTAATTTCATCAAAAAAGTAAGACATTTTCACCCTAGGCAAAAACAGAATGTTGGACTTCATCTAAGATCACAAAAAACATACAATTATATGACATTCTCCTTTTAATGAGAGATTTTTAGACTATTAAATCAGTTTGTTGCTGCTCCTAAATGACAAGAGACTTCATTATTTTGCATTTCAAAGAGACATTAAGACTCCAGACCAAGTGAGAGGCCTCTCAGTGGGATTCCTTGCGCAGAGGGCACGCCATGACAAAACCATACATATTCTGAAAGGGTGTCGAGGACACGAGTTCATGAACCGGGAGAGCTGTGCTTTCCGCGGAGGTCGGGTCTGAGAACAAGTGCCACCGTGCCATGCCACTCTCCTCGCCTTCTGGAAGAGCGGAGAAAATATTAGCATGGCTCGGTGTGCCGGGGCCCCGGGCTGTGGGCCAGCGGGACTCCTCCCAGGCCGCCAGCTGCTCGCTAACAGATGTGAGCTGCAGTGCAAAGTGCTGCGACGGAGCAGAGCGGCAGCAACAAAGCCTTCCACAGGCTCTTATTAATAATAAAAACCACCACCACCCCCGGGCCTCGGTCATATATGCATAAACCGGAGCTGAAGTCGCACTACAGCTAGTCACCAGACCACTTCACATCCGGAAAGAAACCCCCTTTGATACTGCATTTCACGAAGATCCCAAACCCCACACGATCATAAGGGTAATATTTCATTCATAATGTCCTGTTTTGTCTAAATAATAATAGAATTCTAAATGTTTAGCATAAATAAGCAATTGGCCAATTAATCCACAGGCGGCTGGCCAAAAGAATGAATTTGCAGATATTCTGATTACCTAAGAAAGGAGTGTTTAAAGGCTACCATCCTGCTGGTTTGAAGGAATAATAACTTTCATTGTTGTGCACCTCACTTCTGCTTTATGATACTTGATTTGAATCACTTAAGTAAGTTGAGCCAAAGGAGGAATAAACAAGAAAAACCTGTGGTGGACATCCACAAGAGTCAAATGGAGAAAGCTCTTTCAATATCTTTCAACAAATATCTGGAAAATACAGGGGTTCATTGAGTTTCTTGCCACTTCTTTGTACTGAATCCTCTCTAAGTGATATTTGCAAACGTCTCATCGGCCCACGTTTCTGAACAGCTGAACGAAGAACTGCCAGCCACCGCATTGTGACGCCTGGTGAAGCCTCACACAGCATAAAGACAAACCAGGTGTGTCAGCATACCTGAGCGGTGAGGCGCTCTGGCAGCGAGCAGCACCGGCTGGACCGGTCAGGGCTGTTTTCCTGCAGCCTCTCCCCTCAGGCTAATGGATATGAGGGGCAGAGTTAAGATCAATAGAGGATTCCTCTGTAAAGAACGTCCTCTCCTGACGGCCGTGCGGAGACAGCAGAGGGAACGCGGCCCATCGATGTGCGTAATTCCTGTAATGATGACCACTAGCCATTCGACTCACGCTCCATCATGGCTGCCCATCGGGCATGTCTTTCCTGGGCGTGACCGTTTCCTGCTCTGCTGAGGAGCGAGGCGGTGCTGCTGGACAGCTGCCGCAAGAAAACTGGCTTTGATTTAAATCTTTTTCTATATACAGTTCACTAACTGATATATCTGTGTGCGAGTAAATGTGACAACATAAACACAACCCCGTTCCATGGTGAGGTTCTGTTGACAGGCAGAGTCAGCTCTACTCATCTCAATTAGCAATCAAATAACAGGAAGATACATTACATTACAATAAACAGCGGAACTGTGACGAGGCGTATTCTTATCTTTAGGATCGTGACGGATTTTGAGCCACATCAAAATTGTTTTGTGGAATTGACTATTGGAATGGAACCAGAGCCACATTGAGGGATAGGACTCACATAAGAGCTGCCCACACTTTTTTAATATTCATTTACTTACAGCTACTTCTGCGTGTGTGTGTGTGTGTATGTGTGTGTGAGGGGCTGGCCATTAGATGATTTGGGGTGTGTCTTCTCTGCTGCAGGCTTTGATCCGGAGGATTCATCCTCTTAACTCTAGATGACACTCGCACACAGATGAGAAGCATCTAACGAGTGGATATGGCCGAATTAAAATCACTTACAAAGCTGTTCCGCATCCAACCGGCTGAACTCAACTGGGCTCAGTATGTTGTCAGGCCACACGTGGCGACGCGTGACGTCTTACTTTTGGTGAACACCTAGAGCTTTTCCTTTATTAATATTTAACATGTGTAAGCTGTTTGCCATCCTGCATCCGTCATGCTACGGATGAATTATGCACTCAGAGTGCAGTCAGGTCCGCAGCGGGTCTCTGTGCCAGCCCTCCATCACATCAACAACAATGGACCCTGACTCCGTTTGTCTCTGGGAAAAGAAAAAAAACACTAACCAGCTCTCCGGGCCATCTCCCCTCTTAAAAGATACGGGGATGAAAAAATCTCAGAGGAGCTTGGATGCATCCCTCTGCTGCGTAAACCCCACAAACCAATTCACTTTAGTCCTGTCAGGAGTCAGAAAATGCCTCTAAATTAGAGGACAAAGTCCAGTTGAAAACATTTAAGCTTTATGGTTAAAAATCGAATGAAACATATTGGATAAAAACTATATTTATCTACTGAAATCAATTTTGGCTATGATGCGGATTTTTCTGCTTGCTTCCAAACAACTGGTTTATGTCAGTCTCCCTTGTTATGTAATAAGATATTAGTGGGCCTAAACATCCGAGGCAGCGTTTTACTGGGATTAAAGCCATGTTGCATCATAGAGGACCTGATGGAACTGATATTAAGACCATTGAGCAGCCTGACATGAGACTAAAAAACATGACTAGTGTTTTGACAGGACGACCAATAAGAAGCCCCCCTCTAAATGTCCCAGAGTGCCATTTTGTACGCCATACAACTGGACGAGAAACAGAAGAAAAGTCCACCCCCGGTATCAGGATGCGGGCAAAAATATATCGCCTCATCATCCTCCGAAACCTCTCTGCTCCTGGCAAGGAAGCTTCCGGAGAACAAAGCCAGCCATTCCCACTGTTACTGTAAACGGAGCGTGTGCTCCGGGTAGCGCATAAATCATGTTATTCCTCAGTTAGCCTCAACCAGATGCCGCTTCCTGATTGGCTCACGGGGAGACAGGGTGGGGTCGGATGCTGAGGGGAGGCTCATGGGTCGGTTACCCGATCTCTCCTCTAAATGCACCCCCCCCCCCGGCTCCGCTCCTCTTCTTTAGGACACATCCACGCAGAGGACTCGGTCCCGACACACAAACACTCATTACGCGCACATATGCTGCTTCCTGTGGCGAAGAGGCAGATGACACACTCTACTCCCGTTCCAGTTTCTTGCTCCTTCATCCAAGCTCCGTAGGTGACTATCCGCTGGCAGATAGTCACACGCACACACACACACACACACACACACACACACAGGCGTCCAAACCATAAAAACCAGCGAGCATCCCCTGACCTTTGCAGGCATCTGCGTTTACAGGGCTCTGTGCACACAACAGATAACGTGTCACAGCTTCTAACAGCCAGTTTAATGGGCGGGATGAAAGGATCAGCCCCGTAAGGCGGAGGCCGAGCGGGCGGCGGGGAGACGGGGCCCACCTCCTCACCAGCTAATCTGTTTACACGGCCATAATGACTCTTTCCTTTTGTGCATTCTGACGCTCGCTTCCGCAATTTAGAGCAATTCCGAGCACACAGTAGGGGGGGGGGGGGGGGGGGGGGGTGTCCCCCCCCCCCCAACGCCGGGGGGGGAAAAGGGGGGGGTTGGGGCCCCCCCCCCCCCCATCCTCCCGTTCTACCAACAGGGCCACGCTGCGGTAAGCAGCTCAACCTTAAGCCCACATCAATAAGATGAAGCCCGTGTGTGCAGCAAACTTTCAACAAAATGAGCTCTTGATAAATCATAATCCCGGCGGTTTAAACAGAGTTTAAACGGAGTGCAATATAATGGCCATACATGCGATAATGTTAAGTAGATTACTCCTTATGACATCGTTTGACAAAGAAATTGCTGCAAAATTGGAAAATCCTTTTTTAAAATATATATCTATATACATTTATACCTTTAAAGAAATTAATGTGTGGAAAAAATCCCCATTCTGTTTGGTTCGAGTGCCTTTGGGCTACATTATGTTCAGGCATGATGCTGCCATCGAGCAGGTGTGATTTTCACCACGTTCAGCTTTTAAGCTCATCGTGTTTACATGCTAATAGCTGTGGAACCCGATCAGCTTTACAGACAGCTCCATCATAAACCAAAGTACTACAGTAAAGGCCAGAGTTCAAGTAAAGCTCCATCTGAATACACCTCATGACTCAGCGATGAACAGGGTTTGGTTTACAATTAGGACCCCGCTTGAAAACCAGTCTTCCTGAATCTGGATCATCTGTGGTTTCAGAGCATCAACTGAACTAGTCTAGTCTTTTCTGGGGTCCCAGGTTTATTTTCTCAGTACTGAACAGCAATTGGCACAATTATCATCCCCTTCAGTGGAGGGATATGAAAAATAATCCTGAATTTTCCATTTTGACCACATCGAATCTGAACCAAAATGAAAAACCTTTGCAGTCCTTTCCAGGTAAAAGTATCAAAAATTCAAACTGAGAAATTTCCCCAATTGTTGTAATTGTTTGCCGATCTTGAGTTTGAACCTAAATGCTCTAAAAATAGTGAAACAAAAGGGAAACAAAAGGCTGGAAAACCTTTTGTGAGTGTTATGGCTGGCTGGGAACAGGTCAGGTGGGGTGGATAAAGGTCCCTCTAAAGAGGCAGAGTCTCTCGGAAGTGAAGATGGGCAGAGGTTTGACGACATGGCGACCAACTACGGCGCAATTTCAGAATAATGCTCTCCAATGTATCATTGTAAAAACTGTAACCACAGCGAATACCGTCAAACTTTTCTGTAAATCCAGAGTTCTCCCCAAGCACAGAGAACACGACTGGAAATCTTAATTAGATGTCTATGATCTCCAGCCCTCAAGTAGCACTGAATTAAAAACAGACACCATTTTCGGCTGAAAAATCCCTTTGTTGGATCGGGAAAACTTCCGGAAATCCACATCACCATCCACAGACGCATGTTAAAGAAGAGGCCAAGAACCAGAATCCCTGCTCGTCCAAAATGGACTCTGGAAAAGTGCTGTTCTCTGTTTAGACTACTTGAGGTCTTCAACGACTACTTACGAGAAATAACGAACGCCATATCTCCCAGACTGAAGCGGAGAGGGACCAATCAGTTACCAGCCCCTCTCACGGTTTGGGGGCGCTTTAGTGTTTATGGCGCTGGCACATCTGGAGAGCAATAATCACTATTGGGTTTCTGATTACGCCCGGACGCCGCATCTATTCCAACAGCGCGTCTCCTCACAGGGGAAGATGAACACATCTGGAGCACCGTGACCTCCATTTGACACCGACTGTCCGATAAGATGCTAGCTTTGTCCCATTTGTATACATATGAAAGGGTAACATTTGGATTTGATGCTGTTGAAAATTGAATTTCTAATCGCTATCAATAAAACTAGCATTAAATGACTGACCGGGAACTGAATGTGTCCGCCTGCTCCACCAGAAAAGAAAGGTTTCAATCAGATAGGAACAGAGTTGGCATGTCTGGAAATCAACCCCATGTTGACTGAAACTCATCTCGACTTCAATAACCCCCCCCACCTACCCACCCACGCATGCAAGATAATTATGTGCCGCTGTAATATGAACATAGCGGGCTAATGACCCTCAAGCCATTATCGCAATCCCCCCTCAGAGCGGTCCAAGCTCGGCCTGAGCTGTATCCTCCCTCTCTCCTTTTCTCCGTCTCTCTCTCTGTGCCCCCAGCCGGACAACAGCTCCTTCTGTCAGGGCTCAGAGGAGAGGTGGAGGCCATTACCATGCAGCAGCCGATAGATGGGAAGGGCCCGGCACCGTGTGAGAGCAGCCACTTCTCTGTGTGCCGCACTCCAAACGGATTTGGCCTCGTAGCTGCATACACACCCCGAGTCAAGAAAGGAAGCAGTGTGTGCACTGCAGGCTTTTCAGCTCGATCTCCATTAGACCAGTTAGACTGACAAGGAGGGGAAAAAATACGATTAAAAGAAGGAAATAAAAGGAGAAGTGGGATGGAACCAGCCCAGGTCTGCTGACCCTGGACGGAACAGTTGTGGGTTCATATCTGAGCCCAGAAACAGGCTACTTTTCCATCCGATAACTGGATAGCAGAAGTTAGGAAATATTAAACCCCTCAGTGTGTCCCTTCCTCAGTCAAGGACTAAATTTCGTTAAAGATTAGAGATTGTTGCTCTTAACAAAGCGAAGGCCGGGCACAAGGTTGGGGCCGAGCTGCCGGGAAACGGCATGTTATCATCTTTCAAAACTCCTTTTAGAATCCCAGAGGATGCATTCAGTGGACCGATTACAAACAATCTGAATCCGCTGCCATGAGTCTAAACACTGGGATTTAACCCCAATTATCACCTTCAGTTTACTAGATAAAAAGCATCAATTTGACAAATGAACTGGATCCTTACTGTTCTAGCCTCTTCTCTTGAGTTATCAGACACTCCAACCGGAAACCAAATGATCAGAAAACCCAACCTTTTGGAACAAGAACGCCAATTCAAATAAAAACGTTTAGACTCTTTGGTTCGACCTCCAAAGAGTCAGAAAATTAGGGAAATGACTTCCAGAAATTGTGCCGTCCTTAAATGGTTTGAAACAACAAACTCTTAAGGACTGACTGGCAAATCTAAGTCATCAGGAATCTAAGAAATGTTACTGCAGATTGAGGTCCTGCCGGTGGATCGATCCGCAGCGGCGGGTTGCGCACTGCTGGATCCGAGGAGAGGGACCAGATCTCCGGATCGGTGGGGGCACTTTCGGAAGGCATGTGGCCTGTGGCTCCGGGGGAGGGGGAGGGAGGGGGGGGGGACCCACTTACTCGAAAGCGAAGAACAGCGAGCAGGTCCCGACGATGAGGAACATGGTCAGGTAGAAGACCCCCTTCTGGCGGGCCATCATGACGCGCCCGTCGCAGCAGAAAGTGTTCTTCCCCGGCAGCTTCTCCCATTTTCGCACCTTTCGCGTTATCATCACCGCCGACATGCTGTCCTCCTTCCCCAGAACTGCGCTTCTTTTTGGCTTTAATCTGAACGGAACCGATGCAACGCGACTCGGACAATAAGGTTCATTCGACACACTCGTGCGTAAAAAGACGGCGCGTAGGCATTTTCCCCCTTTTTTTTTTTTTTTTTTTTTGGGTTTTCTCGATTCAGCGTGTCGCTTTCACATCATTGATGGTTGCTAAAAAATCCACTATTTCGCCGGTGTCTACTGCAGCGTGGCATCCCCACGGTGAGGCTCCCACGGTCCAGATCCCTCCACGGTCCGGCCGCAGATCAGCTGAGGTCCATCCGAACGATTGCGACAGATGTTTCCCAACAGAGGCAAGAAAATCCAGCCGTGGCACTTGGACCTTGAGCGCTTGACATTCATTTCATATCCATGGAAATGGGAGGGTAAAAAATAAAAGAAAAACAGAGAATCCGGACAGTAGCTATATGATTCCCTTTTGGTACAGAATAAAGGTTCAAATAAAAACAGGAATAATCGCCTGGTCGGACGGGAACGCGTCAGGCTGTAAAATGTGTATTTTTTCTTCTCCCCCCCTCCCTGCAGGATGCCAGCTCTCAGTTTCAGTCAATGGCAGCAGGAAACACGCCTAGATTGAAATGTCTGATCTTAAAGGGGCAGGACAGGTGAAGCAGAGAGGAACAAAGGACTCAGCTGCCTCCACAGGAGGAGACCACAGGGGAATAGATTTAGGAGCCTAATTGTTAATAGACAAAATACCTCTGAAAATGCAGATTTTATTCTCACACGTGGAATTCTGTGAGATTTGATGATGCACTCACATTCAACTCTTTGTTACAGTTTGTCCTGTTAAAGGAGTCAAGGTGTGTTTGTTTTGTTTTGTTTTTGTTTTTTGCATATTAACAAGAACATTTAAATGTAAATGAAACCCAGCTAATAATCTAAAGTAACTAAAAATAGCATCTTGTTTGGACTCAGACTCCTTTCGACCAGAGTGACACCTGCAGCAATCTAATGTGACATGTCCATTTTTCCAAATATCCGCAGTATATGCAGCCATGATGTGATTTGATACGAACGAGTGAACAGAAAATGACATAAGTTGTTAGTTTGCTGCCCATCACATCAGCTTTAAGGATATACTTTATTATGTGGATCTCAATTTATATGCTCATAATAAATGTATTCGAGTACTAATGATTAAAGGAGAGAGAAAGGAAACACTGATCAAACCCTGCTGACAAACATGCAATGGCTGCATCGATCTATCTTTTTGTTTTTGCATCTCTGTAATATTCTATTGGCGCTTTACATGTCTGATATGTAAAGGAACGTTATGAGGATTCAGTACTGACTCATCTCGTTCAGAGAACAAATATTACATTGTTTCAGTGGCACAAGGTAAGAGCATGAGAGTCAGTCAGACACTCAGATGAATGCTGAACCATAAAAGGCCTACACAGCCAATAAGATTTCCTTTTTTCTTAACCTGTTACGTTACAAATTACTCTTTTTTTTTAACTCTACTATCCAGTCTTTTTTCTTCAGTCAGGACCTTTACCTCAGAGGGCATTATTAATACATGATATGTCAGATGTTCCTTTTAATTCTACTAATGACAAAGGGCAGTTTCACATTTGAAGCTAAATCCTTCATGGATGGGCTGATCTTTCAGTAAAATGGAGATTATTGATCTCTTAAAAATTATCCTCTTATCCTCAAATGACTTGGGATAGATCAACAACACCTCTACTCCTCTTAAATGCCTTTTTCTATGTGTACACTTAATCCTCAGAGTAGATAATTGTTCAATTGAAACTTGTTCATAAAGCTTTTAACAAGTTTGAAGCAATCATGTTTTAGATTTCCTCACCTTGGTTGGGTCTGGAACGACCTTTCTGACCAACTTTTTTAATTCCACATAAGACAATCTCTGTCCTAAACTTAGCACATTTAAGGTCCTAAACTAGACCAGATACTGGAAGCTCGAGTAGTATTCCCATATCGTGCCACAGTACTTAAAAACATCAAGGAACACCAATAATGTAAAAGCTAACTAATCTCTGCAGCAGATAAAATCTCTCACACACACAGTGGCCACAGCTACAACTTTCCTGGAAGCCCCGATTTATCGATTCTATCCAATGCCTCAGCAACATCTTTCCGCAACCGCACCCCTTGTTCTCCATCATTCAAGTACTCCTCATACCCCCGCCCTACCCTCTTTACTGATTTATCCCTAATTATTGGAATTATTCTCCTCATACCAAGTTGTGTCACCAAGGTCATATGATTCCACAGGCCTTAAATGGTGTAAAGCACATCCCATCCTGATCCTGCACACCCCCTCTCTCTCCATCTAAAACCCACTTAGAAACTCTAATAATTATCTCAATCTCCAATCTGCTTGCTAATGGAGAAATCCTACACACTGCCTAATGCCTACTTCTAGCCTCTGCCTCTTACTCTTGTTTCTGCCAATTTGTTTTTCGTTTTGCTGTTTTATTTTCAGTTTTCAGTAATAGTGCTGTGATTTCTTTAATCAACCGGTACAATTCCCTTTCACAACATATCGTACTTGTTCAAAATTGTAGGTCCACATCTGACTGACAACAAACTCTTTTGGCACAGTCCTTAATAGATGTATTTTTAAAAATTTCTTATTGCACTTTAAACTTTTTCCAGTGGCAGGACATTTGTTAAACGACGGACGGATCTGGCACCACTTCTTGGCTAAAGCCACATAACCAAAGTCTGATGACAAATATATCTTTTTTTAAGCATCATCACCTTTTTAACGGTTTGTCTCCATCTGTCGGCCTCGGCAAGCAACTGATACAAACAAAGAATAAAATGATGATTTCCTCCTCAATTTCCCCCCATTCTGGATAAAAATATTATTTAAATAAAGTCACATTACTGTTGGTAATTTTAATGTTTGAAGTGAACATTTGGATGGCTTTAAAATACCATAAACATGTAAATATGTATATGTCTCTTTAAAACATAGCAGTTCCTGTCCGGTCATCAAAATAGTCCGACTGGAAACGCATTGCAGTGTAAAATATAGTTACAGTTCGTTAAGGGATAAGCAAGCTTTCTTCAAACCTATACAGTATTTTTGCTTAGAAATGGACGCCGTGCCTTGTCTTCGTGTATCCAGTTGTCATACTCAGCAGTTCAGGTAATTTAGCACCAACATATAAAATATTTAAATTAGCTAACAGTTAGCACAAGACTGACAGCGGACACAGAGTTTCTTTAACTTTATTGTTTTCTTTCACTGGAATTCTTCCGTCACATTTCCTTTATTTTGTAGGAATCGTCTACAGTTGAGTGGAGCTTTTGACCATAGTTTGAGCTTGGTGAAAGACCCCGATGGGACAGTCCTCTTGCCCATTTTACCATCCTGCCTGTCACAACTTGATCTCCAATCTCTCAGGAACACTGTGCCTTCAGATCTTTGTGAAATAGTTTTTAGTCAGGTAATTGCAACTAAATTGATTACGATTTATAGAAAACGTATGTTCCTGCTGTTTTTTTCTGTGTCCTGATGTCTCCTTTACTCTCGCTAGTCTCCATGCCTGCCCAAGAAACACAAGACGAAGATGGGTCAAAATAAGCTGGAGAAAATGCTTCAGGAGCTGTTGGAGTCTCGGGGTGAGAGATGGATGGAGGAGTTCAGAGCAGACCTTCCTCGCAGCTTCCAGCGGCATGGAGATCTCGTTCTTTTGGGAGACAGCTGTTTCACCCTGCCGCTGTGGAGGAAAATCGGTACCCCACTGGGACCAGGATACATTTATTATGAGCAGTCCAAATTATTTATGAGAGGTAATTCATTTGCTTTTCACTCGTTTAGATGATCAGCTTTGGAGCGTTGTGGCCAGCGGACTGGGGGCCAGGCGGCTGGCTAAGATGAGTCGAATTTCCAGTGATGGGTTCAGGTCTCCTGTGGTGACAGTACTGTTGGGGGAGAACAGCTGGGTCAAACATGTGGACAACGGAATCAGGTGAGTTTCTTTGCTTTTCGATTGGAGGCATTTTCAATAAATATGTAACGCGTACTCAACATTCAATCTTTGTTTCAGCTATGAGTTTGACGTCACAAAGTGCATGTTCTCTGCTGGAAACATAACGGAGAAGCTCCGAGTGGCTGCGTTTAACTGCAGAGGGGAGACGGTTGTGGATTTATATGCAGGTATTGAAGCCCCACAATCGTTATAATCCTCTTTTGTTTTTCAGCACCTCATTGTGGAGAGTCTTTCACGATAAAATGCCACAGTTCTGCAGTTCACACCGTGGGTCAAAAAGTCAGGCAGGAGTCTTAAATTTGAATTTAAGAATGGAATTCTTAAATGGATTTAACCATCTCAATTCTTATAAACTGGAGAGAAAAAAGTGTGAACAAACAAACCAATTCGAACAAAGCTCAAGATATATTTTCAAATATTTAATATTTATTTCCAAAGAGCTAAGATTTGCCTGTAATACAGTTTTAATCAGATACATTAGTGCTCTACAGAGCAAAAAACACTGTTTGGAAGGAGTCAATTTAGTTTCTGGAAAATCATTCATGACTTTTGGTCACCAACTCAAAACAATGTCTGTTTTTTTCCTCCGCTGTTGTTTTTTTTTTTCTAAAGGCTGGGTTCTGAAAAAGCAAGAAGTGGCTTAAACTGCTAAAGCCATTTTACTGATCTATTTCTAATCTGTTTTTAATTGTCCAACTGTTTGCTTCTCTGATTTCAGCTGCATTCAGACCAAAGCTCATATGAATAGTTCGACTTATTGCTGTTTGAATATCACATCTATGTCTCATCAGGTATTGGATACTTCACTCTTCCATATCTGGTCCATTCAAAGGCCAGTCACGTCCATGCCTGCGAGTGGAACCCCGCTGCCGTCGAAGCGTTACAGAAGAACCTCCAGTCAAACGGTGTGTCCGACCGCTGCACCGTTCATCAGGGAGACAACCGGCAGGTAACGCCGTCCTATAAACGCTCTCTATCAGCAGTTTTTGAGTTGAGTGTAGAGCCACTTACTGCCTCTAGTGGTAGAGTGTGAGGGAGTTTAGAATTTATAGTTAATAATAAAAATACTTTGAAAAAATGTATTTATCTAAAAAAAAATGGCAGCACAATTTTTAAAGCATTATATTTTGTGGCTAATGTTCATAAGTTGAGTTTTAAACTGGTTTGAACCCCATCAGCAATCATTAAGTCTGAAGCATCTTTTCTTAAATGCATCCTAAAAGCTCCAAAGAACACTTAATTGTTATGTTTACATTGAATTTTCCTTTTTCACTCCACTTTTACTCCATTGGAGCTTCTCCCTTTTTGTTTCCCCAGCTCCAGCTGTGTGACGTTGCTGACCGTGTGAACTTGGGTCTAATCCCGAGTTCGGAGGACGGCTGGCCCGTCGCCTGCCGGCTGCTGAAGAGGACCACCGGTGGGGTTTTACACATCCACCAGAACGTCACCTCACCGTTGCACAACCCCGCAGCTAACGATGCACCTCGGAGGCTTTCCGGGAAGAAAGCTGGTAGAGAGGTGTGGAAGGCCTGGGCAGATGAAACAGCGGCCCGCATAGCTTCTCTCTTAAGGGACGCCACTGGGGCACCGTGGCTGACGAACATCCAACACATAGAGCACGTGAAGTCCTACGCGCCTCATGTCCACCATGTCGTGTTGGACCTGGAGTGCAGACCGTCCTTAATGGAGACCGAGCGGTCCTAGCAGTGGGGTCAACTGCTTTGTTCGTCCAGAGCAGGTGGACTGAACACAGACACCTCGGCCGGACACAAATCTGCTCACATCTGGCAGCAGACAAGCAAACCACAGCCACCACTTTATGTGCCGTCTCCCAGACGACGGCCTAGTTGTTATATGCAGTGGATTCCTCTGAAATGTTTATCTGCTGTGGAAATGTGCATCAATGACACTTTTCAGCCGTTTCAACCCGATAACGAATCACATTTACTCAATACTTACACTTCTGCTCGGACACAGAAAGAAGTGTTGTAAATATTTTTCAAAATAAACATATTTTTCTATAAAAAAAGGTCTATAGATTATTATTTTGAAGTTTAAAATTTTTTGTTTTATACTCTCTTTCTACATCATTTTGGTTGTGCTCCTACCATTCTTTCTTTCTTCGTCAAATTTTAATTAAATTATGAGGGGTTGAACTGAGAAGTTTAGATAATTTGTAAGTCATTTAATTCAAGATGGAATCAGGGACGTAGATAAAATAAATCATTTCACATACAAGTATGAAATGTGAAAAAATATATATATTTGCAAGTGAAAAAACAACTATTAAATAACAAAATTGACGTTAATTTATATTTTAAAAAAGTGCATTTAAACAGTTTTAAACCATTTCAAATATAACCACTAATTTAGTCCAAAAATAACTATTGTTATTTTTACCTCGGATATCACACGCTTCCGTTTTCTGTTTGATAGATACATTACTTCATACCCGAAGTGAAATTTGGTCAGAAAATAACGAAAATACAGACTCGCTTTCAAGTTTCCATGTGACAGAAAACTGGAAAGAGAAAAAAAAATAGTTGCTTGGAAAATGGGGAAAAAATGCTAATTTTTATGGGACCGTCCCATTGGTGAGGTTTTCCACATTTAGGCTCCTTTATGTGGTGAATGCAGCTAAGAACACACCTGTCTGGGAAGAGACGGAGAGAAGTTCCTGCTTTATTACAACCAACTTTCTTTTCTTTTTTCTTTTTTTTTCTTCCGGTACTTGTTGGGACACCCGCGTGGAGCTCAAAAAGTACAGCTGAGAAGACTGGAGACAAGAAGAGCAAACAAGTGGGAGGTACGGTTGTGCTTCTGGTCTTTCCCAGACACAGAAAGTAAGTCCTGGCTTGGTGTTACGCGGCATTTTAAGGCTCGGTTAGCTCCCCGGCTGCTGCTGTTTAATGGTTTTTGTTGTGTTTCAGTCAGGAATAGCCGCAGGTTTCCTGGAGTAACCCTGGACACCGCTGTGTAGCGGACTTCTCTCACCAACAGGTGTGTATAATTCAACACGATAAGTCCAAGTGTTTATTCAGGGCTTATCTGCCTGGTGAAATAATGACATTTGCTCTTATATTGCACATATAAGTTACCAGCTTTGTTAGTTTAGCCCTGAGGAGGATATTTGGAGCAACCTACATTTAAATTTAAGTTGGTAGCGTAATTTACGTCAACGTTGGGCCGTAGGCGCCAACAGAGGCTGATTAAAAATACGACTAATTAATTTATGAACTTCATTCAGTTTATAAACTCAACACCGTAATAACGGATATAGCTCCCCCCCAAAAAAAAAACACCTTATCAGTTGCTTTATTTACAAACTTGCTTACTTCTTAGGCTTTTGAAATGCCTCTGTTGAGTAAAAATAGTCCCGTCTGACGTGCTATTGGACGCCATATTCTTGAGAAATTTAATATTAACTTGGTAGAAGTTGCTCTACAGGTACTGTTTACTTTTTGTTTGACTCACTTGGCCCCAAGCATTCAAACTATGAGGAAAGGATTCTCTGGTTTTGCGTCCTGCTTGAGAACAATAGACCTCTCATCGTCTGACTGGCAACATATTTGTTCTTACTTTGACCTTTTTTGAACATTTTGTCAGATGGGAACATGACAGAACACAAGCTGATGTTGAGCTCAAACAAATGTTAAGCTGATGAACTCCACCCGGCTGTCTGTATCCTTAGAGGGTGGGAACCCTGCTTGATAGCCGAGTTCATGTTGTTATTGGCTGCCCCACTTTAAACAAGCTTTCACCAGGCACAGTCTGCAGGGTTTAAAAGTCATCTGGTATCCAGGATCCTTCTGCTCATTTCTCATTTTTGCATCGTTTTGAGCTAAAATCTGTCACCATGCCATGGGAAAATGTCTGCTGGTAAAGTTTTATATTTCAATGACATGCATACAAAATGACTAGATTCCCAGCAGTGAGATTTCATCTTTTAAGAAAGCACATGTTTTTATTTGATCAACTTTTGCAACAGTGGATTAACTCCTAATATGTTGTGTTAAACATCTTGTGGAGAGATTTATCATGACTTTATGCTTTTAAAACAGAAGAAGGTTTCTGAGGTCTGATTTTGTCTGCAGGGGCCTCATTAAAAAGCAGCAGCATCAAGGTTGAGCCCTTTTGTCGTCACGCCGTTCTTTGTCGAATACACAATGCCAGGGGCTCTCGATACGATTAACCTCAGCTTCCTGTCTGATTCTGAGCGGGAGATGATCTTGGCGGTGCTTCGGCGGGATGCAGACCTGAGGCAGGTTGAGGAGCAGCGTGTGCGGTGAGGAATCTGCATTTCCATTTTGCCTCATGTACCAAAGAGTATGCAGGATTTTACAAATGTAGTCAGATTGGTTAATCATTTAGTAAGAATATCACATTTGGTCGTTTATTTTACTGGTGCACGTCTTTTCAGAATCTTTTCATCCAAACTAAAGATTGGGCATCATGCTTGGAAGCGTGGTCAAACTGTTCACATTATTTACTTGGCCTTAGTTTAGGTCCTTGACTTAATTTAGTTTGTGAATTTTGCCAGGGTGTGAGAATAGTTCTGAGTTGTGTTAGGATATGTAAACATATCAATATTACAGAGAGCGTGGACCTATATTACGAACAGGATCTGAGGATTACTGAGTTAACCTCTGGTTTAAATTTGGATTCCAGCTTCAGCTTGTGTTTTTCTTCCTACCAGGGTACATTGTGATAATTTACACGTAAAACAGTGGTGGGAATGTTAAGACTAAAGCAGTTAAATGTGAAAATCTACAGCTTACTGCAAAGTCAGGGTGTGTTGCTCAAATTTATGTGTTTAGGATAAGATTATTATTGTTTTAATTCTGTCATCCTACACATTGTGATACAATACTCCAGGAACGTATATAGTTTTTCTTTTTTTAAATATTTCCGTTTTCATGTTTAAAAACCGTGTGTCATGACCATCATGTTTTCCCTCTCAGGAAGCTGAAATCTGAGTTACTGGAAGTTAAAAGGAAAGGGGCCAAACGTAGCAGCGGAAAATACAGTCAGCGTACTTGTGGCCGATGTCAGGAGCCTCTGAGTCGTCTGCCAGCTTTTTCCAGCCAGTGTAAAGTATGCCACCACTCGGTGTGCCGCAGCTGCCAGACTCTTCTGCCCGACGGATCCTGGCTGTGCAGTGCCTGCGCCAAAGAGTCGTAAGAGATGTTTGTTCATGGTCTCTCCCAAGAAGCTGTGCTTGTGTGCATACATTTTCTCCAGATAAAACAAATATACCTTTGCAAGGAAGCTGAATTCCGTAGAGATCCGAGAGAATTCCTTGTGCGGGTTTTCAGGTTTGTAAATCGTTATGAGATGTCATAGAGACTCATAGAAAAGCGTAAGATGATTGTATATTTGAATGGTCTTACGCTTGCCTCCTGCCTTCTTTTGACCAATATATCCAGCATGTTGGCAGCCTTAGTTTCACTGTGTAGAATTTAGCATTTCTCCCCACAACGAATGGGTTACCCCCGCTTCCTCCCACTGTCCAAAAACAAGCATGTTAGGTTGACTGAACACTCTAAATTGCCCCTAGGAGTGAATGTGAGTGTGTGTGGTTGTTTGTCTCTGTGTGTGCTGCGATGGACTGGCCACCTGTCCAGGGTGCACCCTGCCTCTCTCCCATTGTCAGCCGTGATAGGCTCCAGCCCCCCATGAATTAGCAGTCTAGAAAGTGGATGGATGTTTAAAATGTTCACGTCTAGAAACTGACAACCCGTCCTCTTCTCAGATACTGTAAACGTACCGTACAGAATTCATGTGAAAGCTGCTTTACCCAGTCTGTCATCTTACAGGCTTGTGTTCACTACGAGTCCCTCTGAATGCTGAATAACTTCCATCCATCTTGAATGTGTTTACATGTAAAGCTTCAGCATTGGTGCTTCAGACTGTTTGTTTAGAGCCAGCAGGTGACTTACATCAACAGTCAGCCATGTAACTACTGAGATGCATATTATCTGTATTGTCGAGAATACTCAACTCTCTTTATTCTCAATCTTAAACAAAGCGTTTATGTTGGCTTATAGGGATGTAAAGAAGAAGACGGGTGACTGGTTTTACAATAAAAGGATCAACCGTTACTCTACGGCTCCCGCTCCAGACTTAGTGAGAGCCTCCCTGAAAACGAGGCCGGCATGTGAGTACAGGAAGAGGAAGTGGATATCAGCCGCTCCGCCAGGAATGCAAACATCACTTTCTCTGCCTGCAGCTGCAGAAATGTTGTTTTAGTTCGGCAGTAACACAAAGTTTAAAAACTGCCGGAACATGGCAGAGTTTTGGTTTAAATTGTGTTGAAGTGGGTATAACTTTTCCCTTTTTGGACTGTGCTTTAGTGAAGAAGCCTGAGCCGGTTGGAGCGTTGCTCTTAAGAAGTGCTGATAAATGCAGTGAGCCTCCTAAACCTGTGCCAATGCCCAGGCTGAAAAATCAGCCTGCTAACAAAAGGTCTGGGGTTTTTCCCTTCTTCCATTTAATATTTATTGTTTGTTTTTTTAAAGAACAAAAACTCAACCTCATGTCACTTTTTTTTTATTCACAGTCACAATCCTGAATCCGCTGCTTCGAGGGAATCGTTTGAAGTGAAGGACACGGTCTCATCAAAGCCATCCCACAGTGATACAGAGTCTGCAGAAAACGGCAGCATTGCCAGCAATAAAACTCAGACTGAATCTGGCCGTGTGACCCCTGATCAGTCAAGGTAAACCCAGAACCGTTTACTCTAACAGGCGCTATATAACCTAACTTCTAAGTAGCAATGAAAGCCTAAAGTTCAAGATTGAGTTCAACTCCCCAACACACAGTTTGGAGCAGAGTCAAAAACACCATCCCGATATCATTTTAAATCGAATCCCTTAATTTACCCACGTGGGTCAGATAGTATTCCAACTGGAAATATGAATAAATGATACAATAGATTCGGGTGTTGCCCTGTTCATAAACTTTTGCTCTGGAGGGATAAAGAGCTAATTATCCACATTAAGGCCAAATGTGAGAGTTTCTTCAAGTCAACAGTAAAAAGTTGCAAATTTTGGCCGAGCATATCTTATTTGTTTTGTTAACCAGATCAGATTACCATTCGGCACCTTCCAGCCCAGCAGGATCCAGTGTTTCCAGTCTGACCGTCCCAGTCAGAGCAGATGTCGTCACCACTGATGGCACCGACCCGAGCAGCTGCAAAGTACGAAAATTTGATTTACTCTTTGATTATTATTGTTGTGTTCTTTTCTCTGACCATGCTTTTCTTCTTCGGTGGTCATAGGCTGTGGAAGTGAAACCAGTGGCCCTGAGCCCTGACGTAGAAGTCGAAAGACTGTTCAAGAAGAGTGTCAGACGAGTTCCCAAACCTGCAGGTTCCTACCTCTTTAAATGAGCTGGTGCCTCAGCGAAAAACTAGTCTAACTGCTGCTGGACATGTCACTTTTATTACAGAATTTGTATCAACACCGGACCTACTTGACGCATCAGAGACCTCAATGGGAAACAGGAGCCAGTCTGTGCCAGGTTTAGATGTGCAGGTAGAGGACACTGCTCCTTCTTCTGACCCGTTTTCCCCCCAAAACGTTTGATTGTTCACTGTTGAGGAAAAACGAGGAAGAACAGATTAGGTGCCAGGTCCTGCCTGGTCGCCTCCCTATGGAGGCTTTTCCAGCACATCCAACTGGCCTTGCTGAGATTGTTTGGTTTTAAAAATGTATTTGTGTTTTAATTTTCCTTTTAAATGAAATGGCAATTACTTAAAAATCTATTTTAAACTTTGATCAAATTAGGCAAAGTCCATGCCAAAATGGGAACCAGAGATCCTTGTTCACAGAACTCGGTGTTTTTTTTATTGTGTATTTTAATGGTGTTGCATAGGATGAAGAGGATGAGGATATCGACAGCTTGGTAAGCTTTCATAGAAGGACGATGGATGCAAGTTCCTCCAGCCTACGAAGCTCAAAGGTAATGACACACTGACTTATCTCACACTTCGAGCAGCTGGCTGTTTAGTTTCTAACTGATCCAAACAGTGATATTCAACCCCAGGAAATCCTCTCTCGACAATACGCCAAACTGACAAAATAGCTTTTTAGTTACAGGAATCTGAGGAGAGCAAACCATGTTTGGATGTACAGAGACAATGTTAATCCTTCTTTTCTGTTGATTATCCATTGACATTCTCAGTACGGTTTTATCGTCGTTTCTGGTATTTTATCTTTTTAAATCGAATGGAGAAAGTTGGCCCATCTCTTCCCGTGTCTGTCTGTGCAGAGCACACTGGGCAGCCTGATGAGTATTTACAGTGACGCCGGAGACTTCGACAGCGTGGAGGTGAGCGGGGACATCGTCTTCTCGGTGAGCTACAACGAGCAGAGCAAGAGTCTCCGGGTCCTCATCAAGGAGTGCCAGGGACTGGCCTATGGCGACGCTTCCCGGCAGCTTTCCAACCCGTAAATACCAAAGTTTGCGGTGCTCTGAGGCACAATGTGCCCTCCCTCTGATCTCGCTTGGGCAGTAAGGCCGATTGTGTGTGTCGTGCATATTTCTAGTGCGCAGCCCCGCAGTGATAATGGCTCTGTTTTGATGAGTGTGGATAAGAGGCTGCGATGTTTACATAGTTTTAATGCCTACAATCCCAGAGGTGATTAGCTGAGCCTCACAGGAAATTGAATGTCAACAGATTGTTCCTTTTTATTTATTTTTTGTAACACAACTTTGTTAGGAAATGCTTTAGAAGAGCAGATTTTGAGTCCTTGGGAACTGTGGGTTGGCTTAGTTTTTATTTTGTCCGTTTCAGGTATGTTAAATGTTATTTGCTCCCTGACAAAACTCGCAAGAGTAAGAGAAAGACCAGCATCAAGAAATCCACCATCAACCCCATCTACAATGAGACGTTAAAGGTTTGTAACTGTAGACTTTAGAATGCTGACTGAACGGCACTTCCTGTTTAGTCTCCTCACAAAATGACCACACCTCATTAGACCTTAGGATTGATATTGACTTTGCAGGTAAGAACATCTGTTGTCAAATATTGATGTTTGGTCCTGCTAGCGGCCACATTTCTCCTTTTTAAATAATGGGGCAAATAAAACTGCTGACACGAAAATGAGCAAGCCTATGCCAGCCACGCAGAGTGGTCCTGTTATTTTTGAGAAAGAAAGCTGTAAATATTTCATGTCGGTTTCCAACAAAGTTTCTCCTTTCATCCTTGATTTATGATTAATTTAAAACTCCCTCAACATCAGACCATTAAAATTACATAAAGACGTTCCATAACTGTATCGGCAGAGAGACGGGGCTTTGATCATCACGTCCTCTTTATCCCAATCAGTACTCCATCAGCCGCTCTCAGCTGGTCACCCGCTCCGTCCTGATATCCGTCTGGCATCATGGTCGTCTCAGCCGCAACGCCTTCCTGGGAGAGGTGGAGGTCCCACTGGACTGCCAAAACCTGGACTCTGCTAATGAGGAGTGCATGCAGCTGATGGGGAAGGTAGATCAGAGGAGCTAGACTTGCTATTCTTAACCGTAAAACTGTTTGATATCCTCTGTCGAAGAAGTCACGAGGCCCTGGACACAATGCATTGTGCATGTCTTTACACACTTTTAAAGAAAGTTTATTAGAAAACAACCTTTTTTTTCTTTAACCGATTGTTGGCATTTCCACCTTGATCTCTTCTCTGTTTAATGGAGGAACGGCGCAGCAGGATCATGGATTGTATCGCCTCCAACAACATGAGGACCTGCTTACAATGGCCTATTGATCGTTTTTAGAAGAAGACTTGGATGGATGCAAACATCCACGAGCTGCTGACTGGCAATATAAATGTTGGCTCTCCCTCATGTGCTCTGAACCTGTTAAACCTTGTTGTGGACATGGTTATCTAAATTAAATGTCATGGTGTAAATCATCCGGATATATGTTATTTAAACGTCAGTTTCTGCGGCGCCCACAGCCATCTGTGGTAGATGGTTTTTTTTTTTTTTTTTTTTTGTTAATGTGTCCTAATTATAATCTTCTTTTTCTTTAACAGGCAGACACTTCGGTTCCAATTTCAGCTTTTGGGCAGTCCAAGGGAGAACTGGTGATCTCACTGAAATATGTTACACCTAAAAAGAGAACAGCTGAAAAAGGCAAAGGTGAAAGAAAAACCGACGGGGCTGATGCTTTCAGTGCACTGTGCCTCAAATATCTTAAAATATATCTCATTTTTAGGCAAAAAAGCTGTTCCAGAGGAAGGAGGAGAGCTGCACATCCTCATTAAGGAGGCAAAGAATCTGACGGCAATGAAAACAGGAGGCACATCTGACAGCTTTGTGAAAGGGTAAATGACAATCCTTTACCCTCTATAAACCTGTCTTGGTTTCAGACGGCTCGTTTTAAGCTAACTTGATGATGGCTCCACAGGTACTTGTTCCCGACAAAGATGAAGACCTCAAAGAAAACGACGGCCGTGGTGAAGAAGAGCCTGAATCCACACTATGACGCCACATTTGTGTACAAGGGGCTGGCTCTGGAACAGCTGAGGGGCATGTGTCTGGAGCTGACTGTGTGGGACAAAGAGGCCATGAGCAACGAATTCCTCGGTGGCCTCCGCCTCAGCACCGGAAAAGGTTCAAATCCACTTTTTCATTCCTCTCTGACTGAGAACTCGGTTGTAACTTTTTAGGTTTACTAACTCTGAAAGTATATACATTTCGGTGTTGGATAAAGATACACATAGCTTTTTGGATTGAATGTAGACTCTCAAACACAGCCAGTAGAAACATAACAAACCTAAGTAAAACCATCACCATCTGTGACATAATTTGACTTCATTTCAAATACCACCGGAAGTCTTTTTTTTGTGTGTGTGGTTCGCTAAAAAGACTGCTATCGTTAATCGGACTAATTCAGCTTCCTTTGTGTAATCTTCCCTTCTGCAGGCACTGTATTAATGAAAAAAGAGGAAGTGGAGCTGGATTCGGTTGGAGAGGAGGTCAGTCTTTGGCAGAAGATGATGCAGTACCCAGACTCGTGGGCAGAGGGTACTCTTCCGCTGCGTTCCACAATGGGAAAGGCAAAGGGGAAATGAGGACAGCAGAGGGCTGAATCCTCGAATGATCGAAAAACTGAGGCAGAAAGAAGCCGCCGCCTCTGGGAAAAACTCGAGACTGTGGATTAAGTTTATTCTGCAAGCTTATTAGGCCAGAAGCTTGTCTGCTGAAGTCACACAGCTCACTGGCCCACATTAAAAGTCAGCTCACTCCTGTGGGGAGTTCAGCTCACTGACTGGTGTCATTGCTGAAACTGTGCCCAACCATCGCAACTCTGTTTGTAGCCTTAAGATCATGACACAGTCACTGTGTTTTTGTTTATTTTCTTCCCTTTGTGTGAACTGATGCACAGAAACACGCCAGGCTGTGTACACAGTAACACTATGTGGGGAAAATGGCTTTAATCTGCTGTTGTACAGGAATGCTGCTGTTGCATCCAACCAGTTGTCATTTTACTGAACTATTTATTTAACCTTAATTAAAAGTCCTATTTGAAATTAAATAATTCAAAACTATCTATTAAATTTAGATTTTTTTTTTTGGTGGGTGGTCTGTCACTCGTTTACTTCTGGGTTGACCCAATTAGAGTCAACTGACCCAACTCACCATACTCACCTCCACCCTGTCACACAAACTGTACGTCCACTCTGACCATGCAAAGTTTTCCTGATTTAAAAAAGGGTCGAATAAAATGACATCACATTACCAATCAGATGTTTAATATTCATCCTGTGTTCTTACATAATTGGCTGTTATTGTTAGAAAAGGATGGTTTTCACAAAGAGAACAGTGCCAGCACTTCAGTGTCAGTGATCACATCCTCCCTCCAGGAGCGTCCTCTGGGCCTGCCCTCTGGTCGTTCGTCCTCCCTGCTTTCATCTCAGTCAAACTGATGACTTTGTTGCTGCGACAGCCGGGGAGGTTTATTAAATTACTGGCAGAAGTCTCTGCGGAGCTCCAGCTTCTCCCGTTCCTCCTCGTCCATCAGGAAGCCGTCGATGTAGGAGAACAGCTCATCCGAGGACACCGGGGTAATGAAGCGTTCTCGGTCCAGTCCGCGCTCGTCCAGCAGCACCATGCTGAAGTAGGACCTGGAGATTCGGAACGCTTGCCTGCAGGGAAATGATAGACATTTTAAGAGGCTGATTCATTTTTACAGGAACATTCAAAAGATTCTAAGCGTTTAGGAAAGAGCTGCTCGACGGCAGAGACAAAATAAGCATCCATCTGGTGCACAGGGCAGAACGTTTGTGAGTGGTTCTGTTTATTTAAAGACCTAATTCTGACTTTCCTCATAGCGTTTGTGAGGTATTTCCTGGCAAACATTTTTGAGGAAAATGATCAATGCTCGTTGAGAAATCCAAATCTGAAGAGTTGGGCTCCACTGATTAAAAGTCATGACATCTGAGAAGTAATAAACATACTCTCACTCTCTTCAGAGGGTGGTAAACTAGTGGAGTCCTCCCAGAACACAGTGTAACACCCAGAGATAATAAAGGCTTGTTTCCATCCAACAGTGCTTTTGTGTAAATTATGAGAAGATGAACTGTACTTTAATATTCCCATGAAAATGCAGATATTAGCGGAAGGATACTGGGCTGTCGGTGCTGGTGCCAGTGGAGGCAACGCCTGGACCCCGATTAGAGGAAAACCTCTCTGTAAGAGCAACCGTGAAAGTCTGAGATTGTCTTCATGACAGCAAATAACCTCTTTAGCTCTGCACACGGGCATTTGGTTGACTGGAACGTTAATCTTTAATGAATCATATTTCCTGTTGATGACGAGCCCTGCGTGGACCTACGCATTCCCATCGTCTTCTGGGTTTTCCGGCATCCTGCCCACGCTGGTCTGCAGGCTGTGTGAGCTGCAGTGTAAGCTGTGTCAGCAGGGAGACTGAAGGGGGGGAGATTTTTCCAGACTGGAAAAACTGAGCACGGCCCCTTACTCAGATTGCACTGAAAGAATCCCTCCGTGTGCCTCCTCTAACATACATGAGCTCCAAAATGTTTGAGCCTGTGTCTGCTCTAAAAGAGATGTACTGTGGACACTGTTAAAATGTAACTAATGCAATTTCATCAGTGGGCAACTTTGGAGAACATTTTTTCCGCTGAAGTCAGACTGACAGGGGCTCTACTTTACCCAAAGACTCTCGACATTTAAAGAGTGAGATGGAATGACTGCACTGTTAATGAGGCTGGAAGTCATAAAAATGGGAAAAAAAACATCTCGGGGTGGAATTTTTCATCTCAATGAGCTCTTTCTCTCAGGTTAAAACCAGAAACGGTTTAAAAATCGTCATATTGATTACGCGTCCTTCTCACCTCAAGCCGTTGATGACTTCGGAGTGAAGCTCTTTTTCTTTGATGCGGCCCGTCTCCCGCGGCGGCGAGCCCAGCAGTTCGATGACCGTCACATGACGCAGGTCTAACCCACAGTCGGATTTCTGTTGGAAGCAAAATAAGCAGGTTTTAATAGTTTTTCCTGTTCATCAGACATCTGTGGGGACTCATTAGGGGGGGTCATGCAGGCAGCAGAGGCGCTTTCTCACTTGGATCATGATGTTTTGCAGCTGGTAGTCTGGGTCGGACACGTTTGGAGCAGAGAGGATCAGCAGCCTCCTCTTCTCATGGAACTGATCCAGGAGAGCAGAGG